GAGTTTACCTTTGAAAAAAACGGTTATAGCTTGCATCTACCAGAACAATCCATTATTTCTTATATGCTTTCTGACTGTTCACAATAAAACATCAACTGTTGGGCCTTCACGAAAAAACATTAACAGTAGGGTTTCGCAATAAAACATTAACTGTTTTCGCTCACAATAAAACACACCGCTGCAGAGCTGCAAAGAACCAGTTACCTCCCCACTAAATATTAGCCTAAACATGTTTGATTCTTTGCATCGCATTGTTTGACTGCTACAATGTTAACGAACAGGCTGCAAATGTCTAAGTAACGTAGATTTTTACTACCGCCAAGCCGATCTCAAATTCATGCATGTTCACAACGTGTTTTATCGTGGCATTTTTCATTGGTGTTTCAAAATTCATCAAAATCGGATAAACTTGAATTAACATTTTTTTAAATATATTTCTCACTACTTAAGATTAATATTACATGTCGTTTTTTTAAAAAAATCAATTCATTATTTACTTATAAATCAACAATAATAATTGTTGCAGTACTGCACCTTCATTTATGTTGACCAACGTTTGCACTATTTTTTTCTTTATACATCAGCATTGGTGATTATATAGTTCCTTGTTTTGCTTCTAGTTTGAGCAAACTCATTAATAAATCAAAGAAAGATTCTCATTGAGCATGAGCTGCAATACATAGCGGACCACTTTCGTGAAATAAGTGGCCTGAGTGAAGGTTTAGAATTATATGATGTAGATGCTCTTGTTGATACAGAGTATCTTCCTGAATCTCTTGGATCAGTAAAGACCCTGGATCTCCTGGACCAGTGTGGACCCTGGATCTCCTGGACCAGTAAGGACACTAAATCTCCTGTTCCGAAGTGAACACCAAGACTCGTTGACTAGAGAACGTGACAGGTGCAAATACCCAGCATATGCAGCATATGCTCAAACAGTTTGCGACAAGTGCAACAAATACCTTTATTGTAACAAGATCAACAACTGTCTTAAAAATTATCACCTCACTATATAATGTTGCAGACATGCAAAAATTAGTTTTTTAATTTATAGTACATCTCTAAACTAAAAAAAGGCTATGTTCTTCACTTCTTTCTGCATATACACATCAAAACAATATGAATATATTTTTTCAAGGATTTTTTTTTAAATCATGTATTTAAGGGTTAAATACGATTACTATTTTTCTATAAAATATATTACTTTTGGTGTACAGATTATCAAATATTAAATTAACACTTAAGTTATTATAATACATAAAATGAAATGTTTTGTTTAAAAATACTAACTATATGGATTTTATTATCCACAAAATGCTAAAACTTAATTGATTTAACAACAGACTTTCCAAACGAAAATTAATACTTTGTTGTATAGTACAGTTTACAATAATATAAAATCTTAGGATTTTGATATTTTGCTGTTAAAGAATTATCTGTAAATTATATATTTTATAATAAAAACTGTAATTATAATGTAATTGACACTCTATTATCAAGTGCAAAAGAATCATTTGAGTTTTTTCTTAAGTTGACATAGCATGAATTCGTTAGATCAATCCACGTTTGCGTCTACCAATATTAAATAATATGTACTTATAATAAACAAACACACCATACAAAAAACACGCTCTAGAAACCAGTAGTGTTAAATTAAGGGTGTTAGACATTTCAGCTCATTTGGTGCTCAATCAATTTATTCAAATCTGTATTAAATACACTATAAATGTACTTGCTACGGTAAAGCTTTCAGCGGACGGGTTGGGGGGGGGGGGGGGGGGTGGGGAATAATGTAGATAACGAAATTATAGAACGGCAATATATAAAGTGTAGTTGTGATAAAACAGGTAGTTAGTGTTAGTATTCTCTAGAACTGAACACAAAATTAAAATTTGTAGACGGTTGTCTAAAAATGACAAAAAACTAAAAAAAAAAGATACACCACATACATCACTAATCAGACATGTGCTGTCTTTATCAGACACATAGAAAACATATAAGGCACATACAAAACGTAGCAGATATAGGCCTTCATAGCTTCTGTGTCGTTGATGATTAGTATTAAAGTTAAAATAATTTTTCAATTTTGTTTTCAATGTTTATGATTATAAGCAAATTTTCAATAGTTTATTAACGCAGTTTGGAAAAAAAAACATATATTACAATTTTACAAATTGAATAAAAATGTTAAAATTATCCCTTATATTTAATTGTAGTGTTGCAAGAAAAAAGCAAATGTCGAGTAATAGAAACTTTTAAAATTTCTTTCTAGATATTCTATTTTTAGAAATGACACAGCTTTAGTTAGGTACAATCGGGAAAATAAAAAATGACAGTATGACCCTACCATATTTTTTAAAAAAAAGATAATAAATATACAATAAATTGAATTAGATTTGTACAAATGCCTTAACAGTTTTATGCAAGGGCCTAAACAGTAACGCATGTATTGTATAAATCTTCAATATCTGATTGAAAACATAACATTACTTTCATAAAATACAACGCTATAGAGTGTTACCCCCCCCCCCCCCAAATGTAACAGATCAGTAAACAGATTAAAGGAGATTTAATTCATCTTCTAACATTGTGTTGATTAACTTGTGACGCATTATCTGTAAATTTTATTTTATCAGATGATTAATTTGCAGTCGCAGCTTTTAAATTACTATTTTTATTACATTGGAAATATCGTTAGCCAAATTTAAATTCACTTTCTAAGGATTTTGTTAAGGACAACTATAAACCATTTTTCCTTGAACAAGTCCATGCTCTGTAAAAAAAAAACTGTAAATCTTATAAAATATGTTAAACTCTCACCTTGGCTAAGATAATATTATCAAAGAAAACTTAATCAGCTATTTCAGAACGTTTAGACTGCAACTGAAACTGAAAGTGACTTACGGGAAATCCCGGTATTATCTGTTTTTAAATTCCGGAAGTAATACATTTGTCAACACCGTTGTCAAGTTAGTGCTGTTGTATTTTTACTTTCTCGTATATACGTAGTATAGAGAAAGTATTGTAATCGTGCAAAAAAAAAAAATCGAGATTTTTACAAATCTCGACGTTTTACACCTCACTGATACGGAAAAACATAATTTTGCAATCTTGTCCGTATGTCTCTGTGTGTGTGTCTGTGTGTCTGTCTGTCCGTGTGTAAACACGATAACTTGAGTACCGTTACAGCTAGGTTGATGAAATTTCATATATAAGTATTTTATCAAAATCGTAGATCCGTATCAACTTTTGAGCGATTTCCGATAACCGGAAGTGGTACTTTTCCTACTTTGAATTTTTCAAAAGCCTATAACTTGAGTACTATTTCAGATAGATAAATGAAATTTCACATGTAAGTAAAAGATCTAATTCTCTACCTTCTGTTAAATTTTGAGTAATTTCCGTTGACTGGAAGTAGTAATTTACGCTACTTCCGATTTCTCAAAAAACTAATGTAAATTTTTTAAGTACTAATAATATTGCGCACTATTATACGCGTTTTTATTCGGCGTTTGCTTGGTGCGCAATGTTTTTTTTATGAGATTCTATTCTATTTTTAAAAGTTAATGTATTTAAAATGGATTAAAAATCATAACTATATCCCCAGTTACCATCCCCTGTTGTTTTATATAAGAATATTCGAGAAAGTTTAGGGGAGATCACTACCGGTTTATTACAAAATGTAGCTTTAAAATATTTTATGAGGTAAAATCAAGTAATACTCAGCATTAGTATATAGTAGTTTTATGTCATTGTGTGTTTGTTAGCGCTATGTATTGGTTAGATGTGTTATATCAGGGTTGTATAGCTTTGTCGTGTAATGGTATGCTTAGGTATGGGCTTTGTTGTCTACACCGGTGGTATGGGCTGTGTTGTTTTGGTCTACACCTGTGGTCTGAGTTGTGTTCACATAGATTATCACACGGTATAATTGTTTTCGGAAGCCATCATTACCATGATGATTGTAAAAATGTTGGTAAAGCGACAGGCTACTGACATTATAGTGTCACATCCTTATGGTTTTTCTAAGCAGTTCTCTTTCGGTCAATGGGTGGACACAAAGGTACATGGTCAAAATGTTCGGGGGAGATTTTGGATTTGGTACAAAAATTGAAGCAGTGGGGTTCATGTGTGCAGAGTGGGGTTTGACTAGTCTTTCCATCTTCACAATGGGACTCATGTCTACTCAATAAAATTATAGTGGGGTGTATTATGACAAACACTTGTAGTGGTATATTTTCGCCCAAAATGTAAACACAAACGGCATCTACTTCCTACCTGACCATCCACTTAAAATTACTTTACACCTCAGACTACAACCCTCTACGCCACCCCACCCCCTATTAAAATAGCATTTTTTTGTGTTTTTTTAAACATCGATTTCTTTCTAAAGTATTGTCTGAGCTCTGTCAACAGAGTATTTTAATCATTTTCTTTTTAACTTTATTGAAACAGTTTACTAAAACAAAAAACAAAAACCGTGAAAATGTCAGTTTCTAACATTACTATTTTTTAAATGCAGAAGTGTGACGTCACACTATCTGAATCTTCCCTCTTATCACACAGTCACCAAATTACGACCCCCTCCCACCCCCATATCCCCTGTATGAATGTGATGTCATATATGGACGACCCCTTAAAACAGTCTGGCTCAATTCTTGTATTACCCTTTACTTGTAACCGAATAATGTGCAAAGTGTTTTCAAATTTTGTATGTAACTAGTTTTAAATATTTTAAGTATTTTTATAATTATTACAGAGTTTTATTAATGATAATTTTTTATAAGTGTGTAAACAATTTGTTTTGTAATTCTGAAATTTTGAACGAATCAAAAGTATTTGCCAAAACTCGTAGGTTATTAATTATTTATTTAAAACTAACACAAAACTCAGTTCTACATGATTTTTCCACACGTAATAACGGAAATTCTTGAATTATTTTTAGAAGATCTGTACCCAGTTTGTCAACATACAACGGGATTTCCCGCTAACGTGTAAGTATTTTAAACTCTCGCTATACGTGGCACAAAGGAGCGCCATATTTAGAAACATTCTACAGGTGAGGTAGACATGTATTCGGCGTATTTTGGTTTGTGCACCTCGTATGTTATTTCATCACGATCTGGACTTTGACATACCTCACGTTTACGACTTCATATTTACTTAATAAATAGAGCGACTATAAAAGAAATAAAAATCTGTTTAAATTCTTCAGTAATTATTAAAACAGTAAAGTTCCCTTGTTTTCGTGAGCTCGACATATGAAGGGATAGGGTTGTAAGCACTATGACTATGCCCAGCCGCCTTTACTTAATCTAAAATGAGTTAGGTATCCACCATAACTGGGTATCAAGTAAGGTTTACTGACTTGAAACCTGATTCGAACTTGCGACTTACGTGACAAGCCACTCCGTCCCTTAAAATTCTTCAGTACATAGATCTAAAATGTTAAAATGATCTACAACTAAATTGTTGCTTGTTAAACATCAGCAGAGGTCAATAAATGTGAGCAGCCATTCTCAAATCGCTTGTTTTTAACCTACCTAAATATTAAACAAATAGACACTAAAAATAATGAGGATTTTAGGCGGGTGTCTACAGGTGTCTGTGTCAGTAAATAATAATGACGTCATGATTTTATTTCTGGATTTAAGACTAAGATGTAGACAGAACTTATTTATTTTTATAGAAATAATTACATTATAATTGAATATTTCAAGCACGACATTTAATCACGTAACATACATATTTGCTATTGACATGGATCAAATGTTAATTTTAAATAATGTTTTAGCCAGTCCAACCCCATATTTACAGTAAGCGGGTTGGCCAACCACATTTTCCAGCACAAGATGTTTTCGTTTATAATTTATCTTTAAAAAAAGATTTTTACAGCGTTTTCTAGAACTAACACTAATAATAGAATGTGAAATAACTTAAGGATTAGTTGCTTGACGTTTATTACACAAATCATGTCCAAACGTAATCATAGTTAATGTGTATAGTTTACCTGTTTTAGTAAACAGATCCTGCTGTTATTTGTTCTATTTGTGTCTATCGACTTTCACGTTCTCAACACAGTGACTACACACGTATGTAGGTCATAAAACTTGTCGGGGATTTTTTAAAGAACAATAAATAATATACAATTTCCCCCACACGGATATATTATAAAGGGCAATAAGAAATCTTCACATAACATTTCGACAGCGTGGATCTAATTTTACATTTTTAGGCCAAATTTAATTTTTTTTGTCCCGTCCACATCAGATTGTATCTTGTTTATCGCAGATTTCTTGTGCTAAAAATAACAGTGTACAGGCGTCCTGTCTGCCATACGATTATAACATAGTTACATAAATAACACATATACATGTTTGACTGCTAACAAAACAGTATCAATAACATTTTAAAGGCACGTCATTAATTAATATACTCAGTCTTCGCTTTTAGTTAAATGGGTCTCCGATCTCAACCCCCATCTAGTTTAACTACTATTTACCTTGAACAAATAATCAAACATGCTTTGCTCTATAAGTTTTAGTATAGCTCTAATTTTCATCATCATCTTTTCCTGTATGTGCATAAGATAAGACACTTCGGGCCGCCACAGAAAGCTTCCTGCATTTTTGTCGGTTACCGGTAATTTTCTTGGCAGTCCTCCATTTCAGTCTTGCCTCTGCTGTTTCTCCGCCGTGCACCTCCACGTCTCCCTTGTATTCATGCGATGTCTTCTGAATGTATTCGTAGGACGTGAACCATCCATTGGCATCTTCTTTTTTCCAATTAATTTGCAGTGTTTCTTTCAGACATTTTTCTCCAGTGGGGCACTTGATATTTTCGGAGGGTGGGGGGGGGGGGGGCTGACAAAATTTACATGTTTTCTATATAAACTCCATTTCATCGGGCCGGGGGAGGGGGTGGTATGGGCGGTAGACTTCCTGCCGGAGGCACCCCCCCCCCCCCCCCCACCTCCAATGAGATGCCTGGAAGAAAAACTGTTTGCAAACTTCTTCCATTTCCAACTCTCCAAGCAATTAATCAATTGATTGGTGTTAGGCCAGTGTATGCCTTTTATCCACTAAGTTTAGACTGAAACCAGTGATCTGCTGTGATGTGTTTATTTTTAGCTGGGCAGCTTGTACACCCTGACGACCCCCGGAGATATACCAGCGGGAATATAAACTTCTGGCAGGCTGAAAACAATAAGAAACATCAATCTTGTCACTCTGTAATTCTATGCTAATGACAGTTCTATCATGAATGTTAGCTTTATGTAGTTCTATGCTAATGACAGTTCCATCATGAATGTTGTCGTTCTGTAGTTCTATGCTAATGATAGTTCCATCATAAATGGTGTCATTTTGTAGTTCTATGCTATTGACAGTTTTACAATTTTATCTCTATCTCTAGAGCCTTATAGATCTTCCATAGTGGTGCGTGCTGTCTAATTTTGGCTGTAAATCAAATGTGGAATTGAAATGTCAGTTTCACTCTATCTTGCATGTTGGTCTAAAAATGTATTTAACCTTAATCTTCTAAAGCTGACCACTATGCTGAATTCTGTTTGCCTTGTCATAGACCAGTGGCTATTGTTATGCAGTTTGTAAATAAACACTGGTTGATAACTAGTCAAGCTACCATATAAACTTCTTTCTTTAAAAAGTCAAAATATTTTTAACTATCACAGAGTGACTGACAGCTGCTGAATGTGATGTAAAGATCAAGGTTATTTCAATCAAACAGCTGCCACAGATGACCATAAGACTGCAGTAAAGGCCAGTAGAGATCTGCCACATCAAGTTACAGGTAAGTTTGTTAATTATCTTTTAACTTAATCAAGTGTACAGCCATGGTTTAGTGCTGATGTAGACAATGTGTCAAATCTTTGTATTATGGTTTATTTAACAGGAATTAACTTGGATAGTCTAGATGACCACAACAGCATGGCCAGTGTAGAGGATAGTCTAGATGACCACAACAGTATGGCCAGTGGAGAGGATAGTCTAGACGACCACAACAGTAGGGCGAGTGGAGAGGATAGTCTAGACGACCACAACAGTAAGGCCAGTGTAGAGGACATCTCAACATATTTTACAGGTACTGTCCATTTGATTGGGAAAAATTGGTCCTAAAATATCTAATTGTATGCTTAAAATGTTTTGTGCTTATGAAGACCTTGTGTTGAAACATTCTGTAGTTTGAAATGTTTACTGGATGAGTATCTTAAGATGGTGATGCTTGAGATGGTTGTGACAGTTGGAGGTTGTAGATAGTTTTCGTGTTTTATGTTTGTCAAAGTTTAACAGCTAATGAAATGTTTACAGTAATAAAATTGTTTTGTTTACCTGTACAGGTACACATGAAGTACAAGAATGTCTTGAAGGTCAAGGTGAGGTAGATTTACACACACACCTGGCAAGTTGTGAGAAAAATCCTGGCCACAACAACTTTGTACCTGTAAATCAATTAAGTCTTGAACATTTTCCTCCTGGTTACCATGACAACGATGTGTATGACCTCACAAAAGTCCTGGCTGATGTAATGGTCAGGATAGCCGTTAAGTTTACCAGTCCAGACAGACCAGAGTTTGTAGAAGGCGCTGAAGATCCATATCCGTGCTACAACACCAGGGGACAGAACTCACTACATACAGGGACTGGGAGGATGATCAAGTGCACAAAGGGAATGAAACGGCCCACCGACATAACTTGTCCATGTCCTGAATGTGACCACTCGGACACACCCAGCAAAGTGTGGTGGGAGGTTCATGTGTTGACAGCCAGGCATGTGCTTTTTGATGATAGTGAGGCGAGACAGTCCAGCTGTAGGTTGTGGTTTGATGATGATAAAAGTCCAGTGGTCAAGATTTATGGGTGGAAGGTGGGTTTGCTTTCAGTCACTGAGAGAGACATGTGTGTGTTGTATTGTGTGACACATGAAGTAGTTGTAGCTGATAAACTGGAGGAGATGGTGAGGCGGTTTGTTTATCTACGTGATAAAGTAAGGGACAAATACGAGAGTCGTAGAGGTGTGGACAAGCTGACCATTATAGTGTCACATCCTCATGGCTGTTCTAAGCAGGTCTCTGTAGGTCACTGGGTGGACAGGCAGGTGGTGAGGGGTAACTTAACCAGGTATACGTACACAACGTGTACCTGTCCAGGTAGCAGTGGAGCTTGGGTCTACAGACTGGGGTGTGACTGGTGGTCTGGCCATCCCCACAGTGGAGCTAAGTCCGGTGGATTAAATTATAGTGGGGTGTGGGGGGACTTTTAGTTGTCTGCTCTTGTATAGAATGTAAACAAACATGGCACCTGTTGAATGTCTGCTCTTAAATTATTTCTTGACATTATTGTAGAGCTTTATTAAACTTTTAATCAATTATCTCGTTATTTTTATCAGAGAAAAAGTTGTTGATTGTTTAATTGGGAGTAGAGAAAAAAACGATCTCACAAATTTCTTGTAAATCTAAAAGAAAATAAAGTTTTAAATCAACTCGTTTTATGTTTCATTTTTGTTTGAACTTTGTACGAAGCTATTCAATATTGACGCTAAAGTTTGGATCTAAAGACTCTCAATATTGACGCTAAAGTTTGGATCTAGCAACTCTCAATATTGTCGCAAAATGTGTATGAAACATTTTCTCCACTTAAACCATTGTATCTAACTACAATCATTTTATCCACTGAAAACATTGTTTAAAACTGCAGTTATTTTATCTACCGAAACCTTTGTATCAAACTACAAACATATTATCCACTGAAACCGCTGTATCAAACTTAAACAACAAAACACTGAATCAAAATTTGTTGATTTGGAACTATCCTTTCCTCTATGTTGTCTGCTGGCTACTTTCTTCTTTCTGTTCTTGCGTCCTTCTACTTTTTCTTGTCCTTCTGTTTATCGTTGTGTTGAAGTTTCTTCGTCAACTGTCTAGTAGTCGTCTTGGTCTAGGTCTGCAAAGTTGTTTTACAGAGAGGGCACATCGTCTTACGTCCATCAAGCTGAGCATTAAGGTGTGCATCTCTCCGCCTAGGTAGTTCTTCTGAGGCTATTTTTTTTTAGATTTCTCGCATATGTAGTCTTTAAAAAAATCTTCTTAAAGAAAGATTGTGTACCATATGTTTGGCTTTCCTGTATTATACAGTTTTAGGGAAAACCAAGTTTCTGCATGAGCATTTCTACCAGGATCTATTCGTCAAACTGTGATGACCTGTTACCTTCTATTAAGATTCGGAGTGTTTGTTTCAATTGGGTGCTCAATGGTCCTCCGTTTAGCTTAAGGTGCTTAATTAACTAATGACCTCACTGTACTCACTTTGTATAAGTTCGTTGATAATCCTACTGGGTTCGTTTGTGTATTTACTCCGACCATTGAACGTATCATCTCAACTTGAGACGATATCCATTTTGAGTGTGTCTCAAGGTCAACAGGATCTCCCTTACTGTCTTTGCCACGGCTAAACATGATGTATTTTTCTTTGTTGATGAACGCGTGTTCGAAAAACGCCGTCTGCAGAGAAATTCGCTCCTTTTCACTGTGAACACAATACAATAACTCTGTTTTAATGTGGATAACTTAAATTACGTTTTATCTTTGTGTCAACAAGAATCGTTTACATGAAACAAAACCAAACATGGAATATAATGTACAGTGATTTATTAAAAGATCTTATATAATTACTACTCTTTTTGTTGTTACTTTTGTTCTTAATTTTTATTTTATTTTCTATATTCAACACAGAAATGCTTGCAATGTTTCAAAATATTAAGAAACGATAGAATATCAGAAAAATAAGATGGGATATAACGAATAGTTATAATACGTGAACGAATAAATATAACAAGCCGAACCGCAGCATATCATATGCCGCTATTTAGTTGTTTAATTTTCTACTTTTCAGTAATTTATAATTTGTGAATTCGACAGTACCAATGCTGCCACTGAAAATATTTGCTTTAAAACACTATCAGTAGGTCGTTGAGAACGATACTACCCCCACCCTCCTTTCCCCCAACCCTTACCCTACACCCCCCCCCCCCCCCCGTGAAAGCAGCCTCCTCTTAGTTACCTCCCCTAAGTTTAAATTCGTTTCAAACTAAATTATCTGCCCCTACTAGCCGTCACTAAACCCGTCTCTACGAATGTAAACATTTAGCGTGAACCACAGCTCACCAGACCATGTAGGGGTGGGGTGGTAGGGAGCGCGCTTACAGCTTGTTTTCTAGCGTCTCCCAGAAGAAAATTATATCTATAGATAGGAGGGGAAAACCTGATATCTTAATTGTTTTCAGATTTACTGGTTTGTCTCTCTTTGGGGAAATGGCTTCTGAAAAAAAGTAAAACTGGGTTTCATGAATAGTTTGGTTTCTGACACGACACAAGGTATGCGACTGTAAATAGAAAGTATTAAAAAATATGTTCAAAACTTTGAATATAAAGATCATGTTAAGCATATTATTATGCTTCTGCCAAGTAAAGAGAGTTGCATATTATGTTACAAAAGATAAAATAAAAGGAGATAACTTTAGCTTCATGCTCTCGTCCGCCTTTTTTATTCGCTGGTTTCACTTACATGGATTAAAGTAATGATAGTTAGACAACACAATTTTACGGTTTGGCTTTTATTTTTGAACATCTTTTTCAGCTTGATCTTTTTCAGCTTGAAGGGGGTTGAGCGAAATTTCCTAAAAGAAAAAACAGAGGGGCGGGGTATTAATAATTGTGAGAACAAAATGTGGTTAATAGTAAAATACACCACCATTTGCACATTTATGGATGTTGAGGGGTTAAGGAAAGGAACTCTGTTTACATGTGCGATCGATGGCTAGGCTCTTCTGCTTATCGTGTTGTGCTGAGTGAGGTGTTGCCTAAAGATATCTGATGTTGGTCTATATGTAAACAATACGATCAAAAACTAAGCCCTAAATAATTTACAACACTACCATACAAAACACGGAGGCTGTCTAACACAATTTAGTTTTTGCTTACATAAGAAGACAGTTTTACAATCATTAAAAGGTAATCCACTAGTTGAATGTAGCGTGGCTCCCACTTCTGCTTGAGAAGCTTTAAGTAGAGTTTGTCTTCTTTCTTTGTTAACACATATTACAGATAAGATAAAGACAAATATGTTGCAGATTTTACAAAATCTTGTTATCTCGCTTTAACACAATAACTGATCTGATTATCTCCCGTCTCAATTAACGTTACAGTAATCAGATATAATCCATTATCTGGTGTCGACACGTTTTCCTGTTGTTTAATTACAATGGTGCCCGTGATGTTCGAAGACTATAGAATGTTGAAAGAATCGATCCAGCAGTTTCTGTTCTGTCTTTATCAATTACTGTTTCTTCCAGATTTTTTTCTCCGGGAGGGGGGGGGGGGCACTTGAAATCGTCGGGGGGGGGGGGGGGGGGCGGTGGACTTTCTTCGTGGGGGGGGGGGGGCAGACACTGTTAAAAGTATATATTTTCAATATAAATTATATAAATTTAATTTCGTTCGGGGGGGGGGGGCTTCGTGACCCACTCCTCTCTCCAACATCTCGCGACGCCTCTGATCTTTTAGCCCGTGTATGTTACCCCAATCTAAATTAAATTATTTACTATGCGCTGACGAGTTTGTATTGTTTATAAAAGTGAGTGAGTGTATGATGTACTACCAAAACTAGGGTACAAGTACCTACACATACACGATTAGCTTGCACGAACTTACACCATCACACATTCGTTATAACTGATAAAATCACATCATGTGTAATATAGATGATAACACGATTAACAGGTTTTATATGTTTATTGAGAAGATAAAAAGCCAAAGAACGATACAATACAAAATACACATAAATAGAGATATCACTACATGGTAAGGGTAATTTGTGTTATTGACTTGACTATTTGTTCATTGAAGCGGAGCGACATTTTGTTACTACTGGAACAAGTTTGTCTGCAACAAGAGCAAACCAGCTAAAAACTTTGTTTTATTCTTCAGTCAAAAGTGAGTTTACATTTTAAAATAATTTTAAATCCGAGTTTTACACGACATCACAATTTCCACCAACTTAATGTTTACAAAACTAGACAACTGTCGAATCACAAAGACTACAAATGTGAGTTGATGGCAATTAAATTCTATGAAATAATTGTTTATAAATAATGTTTAAATAATTCTTTTTTTTTTTTCCCAAATACTTTAATTTTCAAATAGAAATATTTACATCAACATAATATACAAATGTGTGTGTGCTTAGTATTTGAAATAGTTCAAAAATTAATAAAAATTATCATTACATGAACAAAATGGTGAACATTACTAAATAAAAGATCAACAATTCAAATGAAGATAATTAGAAATAAAGAAATAGAAACATGTTTTCTTTACCATAATAGAAATAGTCTTAAATGTTTTTACAGTTTTGTTGAGAATTTTTTTTTACAATATTTTATTTTTCCTTTTTTTTTTTTTTTTTTTTTGCCTCAGACTTGTAATTTATAGCGTCAGTTGTGTGTTCGCTTTAGTATTACAGTTTTCATCATCGGCTTGTGAGGACTGATACAGATTTACAATAGAAATATTTCTTTCTTACTTGTAGCCTGCTTTCATTCATTTAAGATGGTTTACTTATACATAGATCTAATACAAAACGTCTAAATATAAAGAAAAAATAAAAATTAAAAACCAACCTGAAACTGAAAATGCAAATGTGTAATTAAATGATGATTCAAGGGATTTTTTTTTCTTGGCGTGGTGGGCTGAGGGGACGAGGGGGGGGAGAGGGGGAATTTGTTTTTTTTTTTAAAGTAGAGCTGAAATGAATTTTGGATTACAGAGAATTAAAATAATACAAATTTTAAGCAATCGGAAAAGCTATGTTATTACAATGAGACACGTAAAAGCAAACACTCTTCCCTTTCAAACATCTATATCTATACAGTCCTCAATTAGTTGTTTTTTTCCTTTTTTTTTAATTTTTTATTAATTCAATTGTTTTAAACATTTAAATCAGTAATAATTATTTATTTGATAGATTTTACACAGCATCAAAGACATGAACATCAATTGCATATATAATAATCAAATGTAGAAAATAAAATGGCATAAGAACTAGATTAAAATAAGGTGTGCAAACTAGGTTTCTCTTGACTGCTTAGTTTACTGTGCTTTGTCCTTAGCTGAGGAGTCAAAAGTTCACATTGTAGCCGTGGGAGAAGTGTCTCTGCAGTACACATACTGATCTATCATTCCAAAACTTTCCATGACATAAAATTGACCCTTGGCAAAGAGGGCACGCTACCTAGAAAAATCCGCCAGTCCGGTTGAGTGGGGGGGGGGGAGTGTGTGTGTGTGGGGGGGGGGGGTGAGGTGTGTATCTCTTTCTACCATTCAGGTATTGCACTTTTAAAAACCTGGGAAACAGAACACTGTTCTAATTTTAATTTACTTCAGGGCTGATTGAGTGATGTTTAGCTTGAGAGTGTCGATATTAATTATGCATCTAGTTTATTTGCTTCTTCTGTAGTTCAAATGTTTAAATAATTCAAGTCTGAAAATTTTTAAGGATCTAATACATAAAGCTCAATTCTGTATGTAATATGTAAAGTGTAAAGAGTTTGTCGTGGATACTTATTACAGTGCGCATAGTCTAAATTTATGAGTTAAAAAATTAATATTAAAAGTGTTGGGAAATATTTTTCATTTTTAAAACTGAAAGTAATAATTGTCGGCATGTTCATTAAACACAAGTTTTAAAAAATATCATCTTTTGCCAAAATTCTAATTATGTCTCTATTTAGTCCTTTAGCACTTACTTCCCTTTGATAAATTAGGAAAACACAATTACTTCCCTTTATAAAACCATATATTTAGTGGAAAAATATTTACATTTTATTACTTTGTTTTGGTGTTGGAAAAAAAAAATAATTACATAATTAGCGGGAATTGATCAAGTGCAAATGTTGTAGGTATTTTACGGATAAGCTTGGAGTATTATAATTGTTCATTAAATTGAAACATGCGCGTTCGTTTAAGTGAGTGCCAAAGACAATGAATAAGTTGGGGTACTATAGTCGTTTATTAAGCTGAAACAGGGCTAGACTGTGTGCACTTTGCGTTTATGTTCGCGTTTGTGTTTTCTTTGCGTTTAGGTTGGGTTTGCATTAGTGGTTGCGTTTTGATTTGTTTCGTTTTTGTTCTTTCTTTTTTTTGTTTTTGTTTGTGTTTTTTCTTTGGGTTTGTATTTGTGGTTTTGCGTTTGGATTTGGTTTGTTTTCGTTTGCTTTTTCGTTTGTTTTTTTCTTTGTGTTTGTATTGGTGTTTGTGGTTGTGGTTGGGTTTGTTGTTAGGTTTTTGTTTTCGTTTGTATTTGTAATTGTGTTAGCGTTATGTTTGCGTTTTGTTGTTTTGGTTTTGGTTGGTTGTGGTTTGGGTGGGCAATGCCGGGTTTATGATGATTACTAAGCACACAGGTAATGGTCTTTAACAGACGGTTAGTAATGTATAAGAATTATTTGGTTACGACGCCGTGAATAAGACATTCTTTTTTATTAAAAAACGTAATTAAAAATCTTAATTTACGTTCAATTTTTTACGATCTAACGTACTCTGTTTTATTCAGATGCGTCCTAGAATTCAAGTCAAATATGTTACAGAACACATGAACTATTTAGAAGAAAAGATACACGTCATTAAACCTGTGGTTGAAGCTTTACAAGTTGTAAGTGGCAAGTGGTATTTGTCTATTTTGTTGTTGTTAAACATAACGTATATTATTTAAAACCTACAAACATTAAAGAAAACAATGTTCTAATACAACATACTAACACACATTTTTAACGCTAGATGTTAATGTTTAATGTCATAAGGCTGTACAAAACAGCAAGACTTGGTTAGAAGATAAAAGTGACAACAAATCTGTGACATACTGTGATCTTTGTCAAGAACTTGAATCAGCGACCACAGCCATGTTGGATGTAGCGGAACATATTTTAAGTAAATATTTTAAAATACAAGTGTCTGATATTTTGTTTAATACTCTGGTGTATATATTAAACATAAATAACTTAATAGAAAGTAAAAATAAAATTATAATAGGAAAGCTTAAAAAAGTATGGAGTGCGTTAATGTTATTCATATATTTCATTTTATTAAATACCCTTAACATTGCAGGAGATGTAGCTTGAAATTATATTGAAAAAAAAGTTAAAAAGCATTCATACTTTAGAAAAAAAACATGCGATTAAAATTTTAGAGATTATTGTTGATTTATGTTTTTAAGACGAAAATAAAGACAATGAAGGTACTGAAGGAAGGTCATTTTCATCTCAGTCTACACCACAAACTACAGCAACTGAAAAACGTGACAGTAGTGAATCAACAGATCATAATCTTAAAGAACATCATCAATTATCAGGTATACACACATAATTTGTTTTAAAGTTATCATTAAACCAATAATGGAACAGTGAAGTATTTTAATTTATTTTCTTAAAAGAAATGTAGCATCTGATTTCCAAACAGTATTACTTCTCCGATTGACTTAACATTGTATTGCCTTAGATATATTATGTCGCCTTGAGCAGATAAAGACAACCATATCTTCTCTACAAGACGCCAATGACAAGTCTACAGATGACATATCATAATATAAAACAATGGAGAGACAACTTTGTAACAGAAAAGAGTGACATGGGGGAAATCATTGAACAACTGACTTAAAAACAAAAGCAGAATTTTAAAAGCAACTGAAAACAAATGAATGAACGAGAAAACAAAGTAAAGGAGCTAAACAAAAAATTTGAAAGCTTAAAAAAAAAAAGAATCCAAGTCAAACAAACCACTAAAGAAACTGTCTCTAGATATGAAAGAAAATGAAAACAACTTACATAATAAATATTTAAAGTCTTTGGAAATACTGTGTTTACAATAAAACATTATTCCTTGAAATGTAACTAAAATAAAATTCTAAACCCCAATCCACCAGATGAGGACAACATGGATGTCAACAAACCAACGCCATCTTTACCACAACCTGACACACAGACAACAGCAACATTTCTAACAGTGGAATCAACAAGACAACTCAAGACACAAGACAAACATACAGCGGGTATGTCTTAGTTTTCTTTGATATAACAAATTAAATAGCTATATCATGAATATACCGTATGCAATGTTTAAGATTAAACTATTTTTTCTGTTAATTTTAAAATATTTTGTTTTAACTTTTTTACGTTTAACGCTGTTTAAAGAAACTTATTTATCAAGGTTTCTGACATTTTAAATTATAAACTGAATACTTGTGACTATCCTCAGTTAAAGAACAACCTGGCCTAGAGAGTAGACTCGCCTATATTGAAACAACACTATCTTCACTACAGGACACACAACACAAGTCTACAGATGACATATCAGAAATAAAACAATGGAGAGACAACTTTGTAACAGAACAGAGTGACATGGGGCTAAACATTGAACAACTGACTAAAAAACAAAAGCAGAATTTTAAAAACCTTAGAAAACAAATGAGTGAACAAAATAACAAAGTAAAGGAGCTGAACAAAGAAATTGAAAGTTTAAAAGAAAAAGAATCGAAGTCAAACAAAACACTAGAGAAACTGTCTCAAAATATGAATGAATATGAAAACATAGTGCGCAAAATAAACAAAGAGATGCAAGATAAAAGAGACAGTATGAAAGAAGAAATTAAAAGCAATTCTGATTTGATTGTTTCTTTACAAGATGGAAAGAATAAAATCTTGGACAAAACATCAACCCAATTTGAAAAGTTACAATCAAAGGTAAATTTTAAAATTGCTGTATTTTTTGTACACAGTTCTATTCTCACTGCAATTTAATTTACTTCAAATTGTTAAAAGGGGCAGTTGACTAACTTAACCTATAATCATAACTTTTATATAAATGCTAATTGTATGTGAGTTTTAATATACAATAAAAATAGTTAAATATATAAATCTTCAATTTAGCACAATGTAATGTATAAACTCCTACAACAAAGATTGATGCCCATTGACAAACTGATTCAAATCTTTAACAAGAACTTTGAAACTAGGGAAGAAAAATTAAAGAAGGTATGTTTGTAATACTGTATAAAAAATCATTTGCAACATTGATAAATCCTAAATTACTCCGGTAATGTCCATAATTTTTGGGAATTCACTGATAAATAGTTTTATCAATTAAATAAGAATATACAATAAATCATTTCCATTTCTTAAAAGTTACCATTATCTATTGAAGCTAGTGAGTCAGTAGATATGTGATATTTTCATTTATTTCCTTTACACTTTATTTTAATTTAGCTTGGTGAACTTGAAAATACTATTTCAAAATTGTCTAACGATTTTCATCTCATAGGTAAGTTTGCTTTGTAAAAAAAGCTATTAAAACTTATTTATATAACAATAGTGATTTAATGACAATTCTATCTATTAATGTTCTCGTTTAAATGTAAGAATAGTAAAATCTATCAAAGAATTCTCAATGATAACCAATCGGTAAAATGTTTTATACGTTTGTTTACCGCCCACTCTCATGCTCTCTCTAAATCTCTTACTCTCTGCATTTCTATTACACGGACGTACAGCGGTCTATACTAGTACAGTAAGACATTTATAGAGCTGCAGTTTAAAATTAACTAATTTCAATTAACGGCACTTCATCCCTTTATGTTTCTTATATTAAGAAGTTTTCACATACGAGCCAGATATGAAATATAAAAAAGTAATAACATGAAAACATTGATAATTAAACATTTTTAACATCTTAGTATCTAATTAATTTGCTGTAAACTGAAATGTACATTACAAAATGCTGACTGCGCAGACCTTGTGATCGGTCATTAGTAAGTATTCCTACAACAGTATAACTTTAATCCTAGTAATTTTTGTTTCGATAGATAAGCTATATATAATTAAACTATAATGTGAACACATACGGACTGTATGATTAGGTGACCCGTCAAAAGAGCGCACGACAAAAGAGCGCCGACATAAGAGCGCAAACTAAAGATCGAAAAACCATATTTAATAAATAGGAATGAGAAAATTGAAGCTTCTGGTTGATTAACTCCAGCCAGATGACGTTCCAGTTCGATTTCGATGTGATCTTGTTTCAGACGAAACTGGTTGATCAATTTAAAAACGGAAGGATGATTGCAATCTACCGTTTGTTGGAATGCGCGATGCCTCGACTGAGTTGTTTGTACGGGGTAGATTTTCAGCGACACGATTATGGACATTCCAAATAGCAAGACAAAGCTGGGTCACCTCGACGGTTTCTCCTTCGCCTCCCTATGTAACTATCCTCCCAATAATCTACCAGTGGCATAATGTCTACAGGACTAGATTCTACTAAATGCTCAAATGCAGTACAGACATCATTTACAGGAACACAACTTAAGGCAAGCAGCATCTTCACTATCATTCGACATTCCTCGTTGTCGTGATACAGTTGCGATAAGCCTAAATCTTGCACTTTTCGCCAGAGGCATTGGCCTAGGTGAAATAGACAACCAACAAGACGTGCATTGGGAAACACGTGCTGAATTGCATTCTGTGTGGCTTTCTTAAAATCAGACATGATGCTCACTGGTTTCACGGTAGGTAAAAGTTCCACAATTTTCTCAAAAACTCTGATATAGGTTGCTTCGGTCTTATCCTGGATGAGGCAATAAACTAACGGCACTGCCTTGTTATCTATTAAAGCATGAATTGTAAATACCTGATAGAAGATTACTGGTGCAACTCTGAAAGTTCCATCCACAAACCAATGTTCATTTTGCTGTAGACGATTGATATTATCCATTGTTCCGAACATCATCATTCTGTAAACGTCAGTCGGTCCGAAATCCCACAAGACGAAATTTTGCCCTCTTGTTGTCGTTTGAAGAGGTTCAGGAATTGTTATCTCCGCAATGTTCTGCGGATTTGGGTATGGCAGCTGCGTGCGTTTTCTCTGTCTTTCTATTGCACGTTGTGAAGCGGCGTGTGCCGGCAAATGAGGTGCTACTTCCATCAAAATTCCTTCTCTGGCTTGTTGTATAATCTGCCTTGGTTTTCCACCCCTTCCACTGCCCGTTTTCGTCTAGCCGAAACGACTTTCGCTGCTTCGTTTTTAGCCGGACCAGGAGCGTGGTTGTGTTCCGATGCTGACAGAACAACATCGTTCAGCATTTTCATCCGTCCTCGGCAGCCATCTTTCTTGCAGCATCTCCATGTCGTACTTCCATCAGCATTTGCTCTGTCCTTTCGATATCTGTAGCCTTAGACCAATATAATAACCTTCCTTTTCTGTGATTCGATCTTCTCCGTGTTACTTGGGCTAGAAATAGTTTCAAACTGCATTTATACCATATCAACCACAATATATAAATAAACACATGTCGTTTTATTGTACCGCCGATTGTTTAATGCCATATTTGTTTAGCTTACAACATGTGTTTTTATAATTAACTGCGCTCTATTGTCGGCGCTCTTATGTCGGCGCTCTTTTGTCTGCGCTCTTTTGTCTGCGCTCTTATGTCTGCGCTCTTTTGTCTGCGCTCTTATGTCGGCGCTCTTTTGTCGGCGCTCTTATGTCGGCGCTCTTTTGTCGTGCGCTCTTTTGATGGGGTGCCGTATGATTATAATGGGAGTCGGACGATTTCCCAAAAGACACTTGCCCGAAAGCAACAATTCCCAAAAGCCATTTGCCCGAAGGCCGTTTGCCCGAAAATGTGAACATTACTGATTATCACAAGTCATTTTTAATCAATTTTAATTTCAAATTTTGATAATAAAATTAATGTCTAATAAAAGTGAAAGGGAACAATATACTATTTAATATATGCAAGCAGGCATAATGAATTAATTAGTATTTGCTATATTATAGAAAGTGTAGGGCCTACATCTTTTGATATCTATAAAACAAGGCGAAAATATAATTTTCACTTATCTGAGGTTTTTAAAATGATTCTCACATTCTGCATTAAGTAATAGCTTCAACACATTATCTAAACAAGGTGCATCAAATGAAGATCAAATATAATTGACTACCTTTTTTTTTTAAATTCGCTGCTTAGAACGTTGTGAAATCAATCAAACGCGCCTTTGTTCAATGTTGCGAGACGCCGCGCCGCCTACACCGTGTCACATGTGCTATAAAACCACCGCAGCACGACGGCTAAACAAGGTTTTCAAAACTTACATCAAGAGAGTATAAAACACCGTCGCCAACATGGCATTACATTATTATAGAATAAATCTTTTTACATCAATTATAATTTCTCAATTTTTAAACATTAAATGTAAAATTTTAAAAGTATACACTTTTTTAAAAATATAAAAAAATTGATTTTTTTATGCCCAGAATTGTGTTATCAAAACTTGAATTGATTAAGATTGTCTATTTGATATAAACAATTGTCCATTCGGGTATTTGTCGCATTCGGGAAAGTGTCCGTTCGGGAAATCGGCCTTGGTGCAAACGGCATTTGGGCAAATGTATGAATTTGTTGTAGACCCGGTTTTAGCGTAACGTAAATAGCATTATTGTACGCTTTGTGATGTTTTAATTGACCTACTAAACTGGTAGTGTCAATACGTAGGAAACGATAACATAACACCACACAAAGTAAGGACCGTACTAAACTAGTGGTCTAGTGTTTTAATTTATGGTCTTGGACAAAGTTATGTAAACATTATATATTATTACACATAGTTTATTTTTTGAAAAATAATGGTTTGATTTGGGTTTGTCAATTTTACTTACATTATAAACTGCATACAAAAAACATATAAGGAGATGATAACATAAGCTAATAAAACGACAATTTACACATATTATGAATCAAATAGTCAGAGCATTCGTGAAATTAAACATGTTCATCATACATATGTTTTCTAATCAACAGAGTCACGTGTATGTAACAGATATGCTTGTAATGTACAGCTTGCTGAGCCCACACCTGTCAGTGATGGATCAATTATTTCAACATATTATCAAGTACGTGAATATAACGGGAAACATTTTAATCGAACAACAGGAAAATTTGTATCACCACATGATGGTTTATATCTTGTCTGTGTGACTCTGAATGAAAGTGAAGCTAAACAGATTGTAGTTGTTGTTTGGGCTGAAGATAGGTGGTGTACGGCTATACAAGTGAAATCTGCCATCACAAGCGCTGCTGGGTCTGTGGTTGTTGACATGAAGAAAGGTCAAGAACTTTACTTTGAAGTGTTGAAAGCAGATCTAGGCGCAGCTTTATCCTGCCTCAGTAGTTTTACTATCGTTAGTTTATAGAAGTACAACACAAAACATGGTGGATGGTAAATTCTCAAATAAAACATATAACCACCATGTTAAACACATTCTAAAAACTTGCTATGTGTCTAGACTACATGTCTACGAAAATATGTTTATATAGTGTTTTTTTAGACATCATTACACAGTTCCAACTAATTCAATGTGATCACCAATTATTATGTTCTACGTAACAACGAGAAACAAATCAGATAAATCTATTTTTAAATATCTTTTGTTTTGATGCATAACAACTGTATGTGTACTATTTTATTTGTTAAAAATAAAACATATTTTTTTGTGTGGAAAAATAGGAAATTGTAATCCACATTTTCGAGGCCAACTAAATGAACTGTTTAAACAATCAGAAGCTGGAATAAGTTCACTAAAATATATGTCAGATATATATATATATATATATATATATATATATATATATATATATATATATATATTAAATTAACCACGTTATGCATTTGTACATATTTTGAAAGACACTGCCAGTAACTGGTATTTTGTTTCGAGGTAAAATAATAAAATAAATTACTGTTATTCTCTATTAAAAAACAACTCTTGTGATTTTAGTCAGTAACATTGTATGTAAATTAATACCTACCTAAACAAACACACACAATAATAGACCACGCAAAAGTCTATATATATATATATATATATATATATATATATATATATATATATATATATATATATATATATATATATATATATTCTGTCCGTAACACAACAGTTCATCAACTAATATCTTGCCTCTGTCCAATGATTTATCTAAATTATACATACAACACCGCCTGTAAGAAACATTAGGCAGGTTGAAAGTTACATCGCATGTAATACTAACAGATTAAAGAAATAATACGCCTTTTAAAATATTAGAACAACTTAATTGTGTGCGGGGAGGAGATCTGGGTTTGATTAGGGATTTAAAATAATGTTTTGTTCAGTCTGTTGGGTTAGGGTTTAGTAGAGAAATAAATCTTACGTTAAATTAAACAAACCTACCCGAGCTTGATTTCATTTTGTCTTTTCTTTTATAAAAATCAAAGCACTGTAGCTTACATGGTTTCACATATCAAACATCTTCTCTCATGGCGGTTAAGAAGATGATTAATGTTAACATGTACAGTATGATGTACATCTGTCCGTCACAGAGCTCAATAAAGACAAATAACTCAGCAGAACTGACCACAGCAAAATGTTTACAAACATTGAAGTAGCATGGATCTGTCTACATTAGTATAGAATACCCATGGGTCTAGTTGAGTCTAGTTGCAAACATACATCTTGTTTGTCTGTTTTATTTAAATATGGGATGCAAAATAAAATTAATATTCAATTCTCACTCATATACGTCAATTTTAATTATAAATTAATACTATCCCAAACACAAAAACATTTAACGACGCTATGTCTAAAGTCTCAATGACGTCACACCGCCACGTCTGTATCCCCGTGTACAGGTAAAAGCTGATTATTGCTAACACTAAAGTCGCGATTTCAGTCCCTCGCCAGATTAGCCACGTTAGCTGGGGACATCTCATAACAGCTGCTGTCTTGTACTTTATTTTTGGATGGACACAGGTTATGGAAGAAAATCCAGAAATAAAAGAAGGCTGCATGCAGTTTTAGCGTGAAATAGAGCGCATAGCACCTACTTTGTAATAATAATCAATATAAATAGGTTGAATTCACGAAGACAATTTCCTCATGTTATCATATTCTATGGATAACCAAAACTGTTGTCAACATTACACGACACGTTGTGACCCACACAATCTGTTGAAGATATCCTGATATTGGTCTAGATACCTATAATAGGGTACAGGCACCTACACATACACGATCAGCTGGCACATACTCGCCGTGTTTTTATCTCACTTTCACACAGTAGATATAGCTGATAAAGTCATAGCGTGTATAAAATTAATGATAACGCTAGTAAAATGTTTTATATGTTCATTGAAAAGATAAATGACAGGAAATTAAGCCAAAGAACGGGTCAATACAAAGTACACATACAACTCAGACATCACTACATGAAAAAGGTAACTTGTGTTATTGACGTGATACATTGTTTATTGAAGCAGAGCAACAGTTTGTTACTACTGGAACTAGATTGTCTAAAACAAAGGCTAAACAACTGAAAACAGTGTTTTATTATTCTGTCCAATGTGAGTATACATTTAAAGTGTCTAAGATAAAGGCAAAAACAAATGAAACTTTGTTTTATTCTTCTGTCAAATGTGAGTATCTATATATATAATTCTCTTCTGGGAGACTCTAGAAAACAAGCTGTAAACGTGCTCCCTACCATCCCCACCCCTACATGGTCTTAGTGAGCTGTGGTTCACGCTATATTTACCTTCGTGGAGTCGGGTTTAGTGACGGCTATTAGGGGCAGATAATTTTGTTTAAAACGATTTTAAACGTTGGGGGGGGGGGGGAGGAAGGAGGGGGAGGGTTATGGTCCTTAACGAGCTACTTATAATGTTTTAAAGAAATATTTTCAGTGTCAGCATTGGTACTGTCGAATTCACAAATTATAAATTACTGAAAAGTAGAAAAAGCAACAACTAAATAACGGCGTATGTTATGCCGCGGGCCGGCTCGTACATTTAAATTGTCTAAGCTAAAGGCAAAAACAAATGAAACTTTGTTTTATTTTTCTGTCAAATGTGAGTATACATTTAAAGTGTCTAAGATAATTGCAAAAACAGCTGAAACTTTATTTGATTCTTCTGTCAAAAGTGAGTTTATATTTTAAAATAGTAACGTTAATGTAAAATCCATGCTTTACACAAAAGCGTAATTTCCATCAACTTCATTTTACAAGCCTAACATGTTAGACAATTGACCAATCACAAGACTGCAAACATGAGTTAATGCCCTTTAAATGCTCTGAAATTCATTCGTGTTAAGTAATGTTTAAATAAATCAAGTCCATGTATATAGACTATAAGAATTGTTTGATTATTCGATGTGAGGAAAATATTTGTTATTTTAAAACGTCATTATAAATTCGTTCTAGTATGTGAATTCTATTTCTGTTAATTCAGATGCGTCTTAGAGTGCAAGTCAAATATGTTACAGAGCACATGAACTATTTAGAAGAAAAGATACACGTCATTAAACCTGTGGTTGAAGCTTTGCAAGCTGTAAGTGGTTATTGTCTCTCCCTGAATGCATCATTGAATTTGTGCGTTTTATATTAAGCTTGTTGTAGATAAAGATGGAGTATAGTATTTAAAAACCACAAACAAAAAAAAACACACAATGTTCTCAAATAACATACTGACACACACACATTTTAACTCTAAGACATAATGCTTTATGTCGTCAGGCTGTAGAAAAAAAAGTAAGACTTGGTTGGAAGATAAAAGTGACAACAAATCTTTGACATACTGTGATCTATGCCAAGAACTTGAATCAGCTACCTTGACCATGTTGGATGTAGCGGCTCATATCTTAGGTAAATATTTTAAAACACCATTGTGTTTTACTTTAATTGATATTCTGGAGTATCAGTTAAATATCAATAATGTAATGTAAATAATGACTGTAAAATCTGTCAGGTAAATGTCAATAATGTAATGTAAATAATGACGGTAAAATCTGGTCAATTATGGATTTTTTACTTATTTAAAATTGATATATTTCAATTAATCAAATACCATTTATATTTTATAATTTCTAAAGGAAGTATTTTGAATACAAAAAATAACCCAAAAAAATTATGAAATTTCCAATATTGAATAAAACTACACCGGGATTATTATTATACATATTTAAAATAATTACTTTTCACTGAAAATTTGAAGAGGAAAATAAAGACATTGTTGAAGATGATTTCATCTCAGTCTACCTCACAAACAAAAGTAACAGAAAAATGTGGCAGTAGTCAGTCAACAGATCAAATCATTAACGAAACTTATAAACCATCAGGTATCTATACAAACATATTTTTACAAAAAAAATTAAGTTTAAACAAATATTTTCAAGGTGAATGATTCAAATATATTTTCTTAAAGGAAAAGTAGCATATTATAATAATTTTTAAACTTTATTACTATTGCGATTGACTAAATTTTATAATGCCATAGAAATATTAAGTCGACTTGAGCAGATAGAGACAGTCATATATTCTCTACAAGACGTCAGTCGACTTGAGCAGATAGAGACAGCTATATCTTCTCTACAAGACGTCAGTCGACTTGAGCAGATAGAGACAGCCATATCTTCTCTACAAGACGTCAGTCGACTTGAGCAGATAGAGACAGCCATATCTTCTCTACAAGACGCCAATGACAAGTCTACAGATGACATATCAGAAATAAAACAATGGAGAGACAACTTTGTAACAGAACAGAATGACATGGGGGTGAACATTGAACAACTGACTAAAAAACAAAAGCAGAATTTTAAAAACTTTAGAAAACAAATGAATGAACAAGATAACATAGTAAAGGCTCTGAACAAAGAAAATGAAAGTTTAAAAGAAAAAGAAACCAGTTCAAACAAAACACTAGAGAAACTGTCTTTAGGTATGAAAGAATATGAAAACAACTTACTCGAAATAACAAAAAATATGCAATTTCACACAGATAAAACAGAAAGTATAACACAAGAAATAAAAAGCTATTCTGATTTAATTGTTTCTTTACAAGAGGATTATAATAAAACCAGGGCAAATGTATCAACCAAATTTGAGAAGTTACAATTCAAGGTAAACATTAAGATTGCTAATTAATTGGGTATACATTTGCTGACAAGTGTATATACTACTCATTTTATAAAGAAGTTGTACATTAAATTAAGTCATTTTATTAATTTTTTCAACAGTAAGACCATTGATTCTAAAACTATACTTAAAGCAGTTTCTATTGCTGCAATTTAATCTTCAAAAGAAATAGTCAAACTTGTAGTAATCCATTAAAATTATCGGCCATTTAGCACAACCTGATGTACCAACTTCTACAGCAAAAATTGATGCCCATTGACAGATTGTTTCAAATATTTAACCAGAACTTAGAAACTAGAGAAGAAAGATCAAAGAAGGTATATTTGTAAATATATAATTACTGTATAGTCTGTAGCATTGCGCATTAATTATCTAGTTATTTTTAGACCATTGAATGAAAATTGGTAATTAAGTGATATCTAATGTTAGTTTAAAAAAAAAACAAGATAGTGCAATAAAAATCAGTTTATCTAATTACACTTTGCTATTGTGAAGTAAGTGGACCTATTGTATCATTTACGCTGTTATGTGATAATTTTATTCTTTTAATTTACACTTTATTTTTATTCAGCTGGAAACTATGGAAAATGTTATGTCAAAGTTGACTATGGATTTCAATGTAATCGGTAAGTTTGTTTTGGAAAATAATAATCTTACATCATGATAAAAGATAATTGGTCAATCTATATTATCTCTATCTAGATGTAAATATAAAACTGTATTGTAGAATATCGACGCAAACTCCACACTTTCCTACTTTAGCTTACTAGCCTCTTTAATATCAAACATAATACCATGTATAAGTTTGAGCGATGTTCGTTAGCCAAACACAGCATAATATAAAAAACGATTCCAGCATTTCACTCACCCATGGTACCAGCCACTAGACCCGTGTATTTTGCCATACATTTGTTTTCACCTGATGCATTATAAAACCAGGTAAATCTGTCGAAGTAAAAATTGTATGTAGCTGAATTTATTTTATAATGTAAACAAAAACTTTAGCCCTTTAGGGTGATGCTAATAAAACAGTATGTTCTAGAAGCAATAATTAAATCTTCAATATAACTTGAAAATATTTTGTTCTGATTGTCTTCATGTCAAGATTATCATTCTAATGGTACTTGTCGTTTTTCTGGTAATAGACTTGCCATATATAATTTAACAATCTTCAGATGTATTACGGCATTTAATACTAATCGTTTGCATATATAATGAAAAAACAACGGATGTCATATATTTTGAGGACGGTACTAAACTAATAGTTTCAAAACGCAGGAAACGATAAACTAACACTAAAACAATCGACGTGGTACTAAACTAATCGTTTCAATAAGTGCTGTTATAGAGGACTGTGTAAAAAATAATCCTCAAGTCTATATTTGTAGAGAGATAGTTTGTCTTCTATTTTTATTGTGTACTTACATGTCGTAAGTCATGCACTCTTAATTGCACGTGTTACATCTTCATAGCATGTATTCGTAGAATTACATATGTATCTCATACATATGTTTTCTAATCAACAGAGTCACGTGTATGTAACAGATATGCTTGTTATGTACAACTCGCTCAACCCACACGTGTCAGAGGTGGATCAATTATTTCAACATTTAAAGAAGTACTTGAATATAACGGTCAACATTTTAATCAAAGAACAGGAAAATTTGTATCACCACATGCTGGTTTATATCTTGTCTGTGTTACTCTACATGAATGGGAAGATAAACGGATTGTAGTTACTGTGATGTCTGGAGGCGGGTGGTGTGAGTTTATAGAAGTGAAATGTGCCGACACTAGCGCTGCTGGGTCAGTGGTTGTTTACTTGAAGAAAGGTCAAGAACTTTTCTTTACTACGTATAGAGCAGATCAAGGCGCAATGTTATCAGGCTTCAGTAGTTTTACTATCGTTAGATTATAGATGCACATCATCAAACATGGTGATTGGAAAGTTATGTTAAAAAAACTAATGTAAAAAAACTAAATGTGTAAGCCAACGTTATTAAACTTGTATGTGTTTAGAATTCATGTCAACTCTATGTTTACCTTACACAATTCTAACCAATACAACACGATCAGCATGTATGCGTTTTATTAGGCTACTCTCTACTTACCTATTTAACTTTGAACACAATATGATAACTCTGGTTTAATGCGGATAACTTAAGTTACGTTTTATCTTTGTATCAACAAGAATCGTTCACCCGAAACAGAAACCAAACATGAAATATAATGTACAGTGATTTATTAAAAGTATCATTCACTCTGCTCATATACAGTTAAAAGTTACTACTCTTTTTGTTGTTACTTTTTTCCTTTATTTATATTTTTTTTCAAAATTCAACACAAACATGCATGCAATGGTTCAAAATGTTAGGAAACGAGAAAGTATCTGAAAAATAAGAGGGGATGTAGCGAAAAATTATTATTAGTGAATGAATAAATAAAATAGGAGGAGGCAAACATTACATCCTAATAGGTTTCAGATTTACTGGCTTGTGTCTCTTTGGGGAAAATGCATCTGTAATAAAGTGAAACTGGGTTTTTATTAATAGTTTGGAAATCAGACACGACACAAGATATACGACTGTTTATAGAAAGTCTTACAAAATATTTTCAAAACCTTGAATAAAAAGAACATTGTAAGCATATGCTTCTGCCAAATATACAGAGTTGCATATTATGTTACAAAAGATAAAATAAAAGGAGATTACGTTAGCTTGTTGCTTGTCCGCCTTATTGTTTCGCTTGTTTCCATTACATGGCTTAAAACAATGATAGACAGACAACACAAATTTACGGTTAGGAATTTATTTTTAAACATATTTTTCAGCTTGGAAGTGAAGAGCAAAATGTCCTAGTTGAAAAAAGAAGAGGGGGGGGGTTAATTATTGTAAATAACAAAATGTGATTATTAGTAAAATACACCACCATTTGCAAATTTTTGATGATGAGGGGTTGGGAAAGGAAAATGTGATTACAGGGGGGAAGTATGGCTCTGATGGTTATCGTGTTTTGCTGAGTGAAGTGTTGCTTAAAGATATCTGATACTGTTTTACATGTAAATAATGCGATTAAATACTAAGATCAGAACAATCGACAACACTACCATACAAAACACGGAGGCTGTCTAATACAATTTAGTTTTTGCTTACTTAAGAAGACAGTTTTACAATCATATAAAAGGTAAGCCACTAGGTGAATGTAGCGTGGCCCCCACTTCTGCTTGAGAAGCTTTAAGTAGAGTTTGTCTTCTTTCTTTGTTAACACAAATTGCAGATTTGCCACAGAAAATATGTTGCAGATTTTACAAAATCTTGTTTCTGCAAGGCGTTATCTCCATTAAACACACCAACTCGGATTTGCTCATCTCCCGCCTCCTGTAACGTGACAGTAACCAGATATAATCCATCATCTGATGCCGCATGTTTTTCTGTGTTTTGATTAAAATGGATTCCGTGGCGTCCGAATACTATAGAATGTAGAAAGAATTGACCCAACAGTTTATGTTGTGTTTTTATCAAGATGAAGTTGACTGATGTAAGGTGAACGTTTCTATTTTTTTAATCAGTGTGTATTTTGTGTGGCCTGTTTAACGTTGCGTGCTCACAGTGTGGGTAGGGGAGAGACTAGTGTACGTTAGCAGATAATTGTTTTTCAAAACTGTAACAATAAAGACACCCATGTAACATTTTAAGTAGGCAATTCCTGTCAACAGACGCCTTTAAGTTATAAATCAAGTGTAGGTCGATACATTGTTCTACTGACTATTTAGTGCGGTCTGTTGTAATAGTTTGTTTAAATGTGTAAGTCTGTGAGTTAAACGTTAGGTTAACTAACGTAAGTTGTGATAGTTTGTTTAATCATATCACATATTATGCATAACAAATCAATACGGAAACTAATGTAACGCGAAATGACTAAGTCACCTAACACAATCAAATTTACAATTATATTTTAATTCTTTTGCTAGTGTCTCTTCCCCTACACACTCTAAACACACACACACGCACACGCACACACACACGTATACTTTTACACGTGGAGACTGTTGTATTCAACCATTCTTGATATTATCTAAACGTTACTTGGCAGTCACATCCAACCATCGAGTAAATATTTGATTTACGATTGTCCAATCTGGTTTCGTCAAATTCGGCTTAGGTGGATTACATGCTTAACTCTTATCAGTTAAAATATACAATTTTTGTACCGTGAAAGATGTTTTTGGTGTGTATCCTCACTCTATTCTCTGATTTCAAATGACGTCACTTTGTGTACACATTATATTAATCCACATAGAAGAGGAATTGGTTGCTCTAAAAGTTGTTCTCTCTCAACACTCCCCTACCCATAGTGAACATGTGCTTAAGCAATGTAAACTAACAGTTATAAATTGAAGTTGAAAAAGTATGGTTTCCAGGGGAATTATTTATTGGGGTGTGATCATACGCCCACCCCACTCCTAAAAGTTTGAACATGATGCGACCCGTGACTCACTCCTCTCACCAACATCTTACGACACCTCTGATCTTTTATCGCGTGTCTGTTCACTTAACCTAAATTAAATTATTTACTATGCGCTGCCGAATTTTTATTGTTTATACAAGCGAGTGAGTGTATGATGTACTACCAAAACTAGGGTACAGGTAAATACACATACACGATCAGCAGGGCACGAACTTACACCATCACACAGTCGTTATAACTGATAAAATCACATCGTGTGTAATATGGATGATAACACGATTAACAGGTTTTATATGTTTATTGAGAAGATAAAAAGCAGGATAATAAGCCAAAGAACGATACAGTACAAAGTACAAATAACTAGAGATATCACTAAATGGTAAGGGTAATTTGTGTTATTTACTTGACTCTTTGTTCATTGAAGCGGAGCGACATTTCTTACTACTGGAACTAGTTTGTCTGCAACAAGAGCAAACCAACTAAAAACTTTGTTTTATTCTTCAGTCAAAAGTGAGTTTAAATTTTAAAATAATTTTAAATCCGAGTTTTACACGACATCAAAATTTCCACAAACTTAATGTTTACAAAGCTAGACAACTGTCAAATCACAAAGACTACAAATGTGAGTTACTGGCAATTAAAATCTATGAAATAATTGTTTATAAATAATGTTTAAATAATGCAAGTCTGAAACTTTTTAAGGATAGTGTATAAGAATTATGTGGTTACGACGCAGTGAAAAAGACATTCTTTTTATTAAAAAACGTAACTAAAAGTCTTAATTTACGTTCTAGTTTTTACGATCTAACTTATTCTATTTTATTCAGATGCGTCCTAGAATTCAAGTCAAATATGTTACAGAACACATGAACTATTTAAAAGAAAATATACACGTCATTAAACCTGTGGTTGAAGCTTTACAAGTTGTAAGTGGCAAGTGTTATTTGTCTATTTTGTTGTTGTTAAACATAAAGTATGTTATTTAAAACCTACAAACATTAAAGAAAACAATGTTCTAATACAACATACTAACACACATTTTTAACGCTAGATGTTAATGTTTAATGTCATAAGGCTGTACAAAACAGCAAGACTTGGTTAGAAGATAAAAGTGACAACAAATCTGTGACATACTGTGATCTATGTCAACAGAGTTTCTTCCAGGCATCTCTTCGGGGGGGCGAAGCCCCCCCGAAAATTTTTTACCGCCCCCCCGAACGAAATGAAATTTATATAATTTATATAGAAAATATATACTTTTAACAGTGTCCGCCCCCCCGAAGAAAGTTTACCGCCCCCCCGAAGATTTCAAATGCCCCCCCGGAGAAAAAAGTCTGGAAGAAACACTGTATGTCAAGAACTTGAATCAGCGACCACAGCCATGTTGGATGTAGCGGAACATATTTTAGGTAAATATTTTAAAATACAAGTGTCTGATATTTTGTTTAATACTCTGGTGTATCAATTAATTATCAATAACTGAATAGAAAATAAAAATAAAATAATAACAGGAAAGCTTCGAAAATTATTGAGTGTGTCAATATTATTTAATATTAATAAATTTCATTTTATCAAATACCCTTGACATTGTAGTAAATGTAGCTTAAAATTATATTGAAAAAAAAAGTTAAAAAGTATTCATACTTTAGAAAAAAAACATATTTGATTAAAATTTTAGAGATTATTGTTGATTTATGTTTTTAAGACGAAAATAAAAACACTGTAGATACTGAAGGAAGGTCATTTTCATATCAGTCTACACCACAACCTACAGCAACAGAAGACCATGGCAGTGGTGAATCAACAGATCATAATCTTAAAGAACTTCATCAATCATCAGGTATACCCAAATACGTTTTTTAAAGTAATCATTAAACCAATAATGGAACAGTGAAATATTTTAATTTATTTTCTTAAAAGAAATGTTGAATCTGATTTCCAAACAGTATTACTTCTCCGATTGACTTAACATTGTATTGCCTTAGATATATTATGTCGACTTGAGCAGATAGAGACAACCATATATTCCATACAAGTCACCAATATCAAATCTACAAATGACATAACAGAAATAAAACAATGGAGAGACAACTTCGTAACAGAACAGAGTGACATGGGGGTAAAAATTGAACAACTGACTAAAAAACAAAAACAGAACTTTAAAAACATCAGAAAGCAAATGAGTGAACAAGATAACAAAGTAAAGGAGCTGAACAAAGAATTTGAAAGTTTAAAAGAAAACGAATCCAAGTCCAACAAAACACTAGAGAAACTGTCTCTAGATATGAAAGAATATGAAAAGAACTTTCTCAAAATAAATAAAGAAATACAATTTTACATAGATAAAACAGACAGTATAACTGATGAAATTAAAAGACATTCTGAAATGATTTCCTCTTTACAAGAAGATAACAATAAAATGATGGTCAATACATCAACCAAACTTGAAAAGTTGCAATCAAAGGTAAACATTTAAATTGATACTTAATTAGGTCCACAATTGTACACCTACTTGCCAGTTTATCAACTCCATGTGAAGGTTCCCTTTCAAACCAGACGGTTCATGGGGCAAGTGACCTTGGCATATGAAGAGATAGTGTGGTCAGCACTATGCCCAGCCGCCTTTACTTTCCCTAACGTGAGTTAGGTACCTATTAGAGTTGGGTGGACTCAAGGACGGTCTACTGACTTGAACCCGGATTCGAACTCGAAACTTACGGGTAAGCAGTCCAGCTCTATACCGCTATCAACTGCAAGTATTATAACCAAATTGTAACATTTAATTAAAGGTCAGTTGTAATACTTCTTATTTTAAAACTAATGTTAAAGCACACTTTTATGTCTGAAATTTTAATATACAGTAGAAATAGTCAAATTTGTAATAATCCTTTTAGCACAATGTGATGTACAAAGTCCTACAACAACGATTGATGCCCATTGACAAACTGATTCAAATCTTTAACCAGAACTTGGAAAATAGAGAAGGAAGAATAAATAAGGTTTGTTTCTAATAAGTTTATTTAAAAAATTAATTGCAACATAAATAAAGCAGTGCATTATTTACTAACACTCTGTTGTTAGTCCAGTTAATACCATCTGTTTTCTTTAATACATTTATATTTTTTTTGTATTATAAAAAGTTCCCACTTCCAAATAAATTCAGTTGATCTATGGTATGTTTTACGTAATTGTGTGATTATTTCATTATGTTATTTAAATTGTATTTAATTTAGATTGACAATTTTGAAAATGCTTCTTCAAAGTTTTCCAAAGAATTTCAGCTCATCGGTAAGTGCGCTTAAAAAAAATAATAATAAATAATTATCTTAAACCAATGATGATTTAACGGTAAATATACTTTACTTCTGGTGAAAATGTAACATAACTGATACTTTGACATAGAATAATCGATGCTAACCGATCTGAAATCAGTTTGTTACTTTAGCTTACCTCTGCTAAATATCTCTGCATCCTCCCCCCCCCCCCCCCTGCGTGTTGTTCGTAAGCAAGACAGACCATAACATATTGTTCGTTAGATAGACAGACCATAACATGATGTTCGTTAGCCAGACAGACCATAACATGATGTTTGTTAGATAGACAGACCATAACGTGATGTTCGTTAGCCAGACAGTTCATAACGTGATGTTCGTTAGCCAGACAGACCATAACGTGATGTTCGTTAGCCAGACAGTTCATAACATGATGTTCGTTAGCCAGACAGACCATAGCTAGATATAAAATGGACCATTTCACTTACCCTTATAGCCAGACTCTAGACACATTGTGCATTGCACCCCCTGGTATGTCGGGAGTCGACATCATTACTTTATGTTTCTACTATGTGTACTTAAATCAACGTGAGATAAGCAATATTAAACATGTATGGTGCTAATCTTGTTAACGGTTTTATTAGAGTTTCATAAGTACATCAGATTATTTAGTTCTAGCAACTCTTGGTGCGATAGATTAACCTTATTTAATTCAACTATAATGTGGATACATACAGACTGTATAATTATAACAAAACGCATATAACATTTGTTGTACTTTTTGTGACCTATTACGTCACCTTCTACACTCGTAGCTCGTGAAATTTCATTTATCTATCTGAAAAAGTACTCAAGTTATAGGCTTTTGAAAAATTCAAAGTGGAAAAAGTACCACTTCCTTTTTATCGGAAATCGCTCAAAAGTTGATACGGATCTACGATTTTGATAAACTACTTATATATGAAATTTCATCAACTTAGCTGTCACGGTACTCAAAGTAATCGTGTTTACACACAGACATACAGACGCACACACACACAGACACACAGACATACGGACAAGATTGCAAAATTATGTTTTTCCGTATCAGTGAGATGTAAAACGTCGAGATTTGTAAAAATCTCGAAATTTTTTTTGCACGATTACAATACTTTCTCTATACTTCGTATATACGAGAAAGTAAAAACCTGACATTAACGTATAATTTACGTGTCTAATCTTAAAAGCGTTTTGCGTACAGAATTTCTTTAATGCATCTCTTCGTGTAGGGGCGAAGTCCCTCCTCTTCCCCCCTCTCCTCGGTAGAACGTCAAATCGCCCCCCCCCCCCAAACGAAATATAATTAATATAGAAAATATATAGACCTACTTTAACCAGAGTCGGCCTCCCTCGTACTAAATTTTGTTGGAGGGGTCGGACCCTGGTAAAAGTAAATCTTTTCTTTATACGTTGTATTTCGTGGAAGGGGACTTGCTTCGTGTTGGGTGGTGGAGTGGGGAGGGGGCCTGCCCCTCAGAGTTGCCTGAAATTAACTCTAAATGCTACTTTTCTCAGGTTTGATCTTAGGTGCAATGTTTAAAGGTATGTTTACGACTATAATTAGTATCAATGTACGGTAACTACATGTAGATCAAGCTTCAATTTGGATAAAATGCCGATTCTGGATAAAAATCCGTTTTTTTTAATGACATTTTTCGTTTCCGGTTAAATTTGAAGTTGAGGTGGTGATTTTCTGAACTACATACAAAACACACATAATATGTTTATACTTAGAGTTATTCTCAATGATACTATTTTGGCAACTCACAAATATTAGGGATCAAATAGAGTATTCTTGAAATTTAACATGTATACCCTACATATGTTTTCCAATCAACAGTGTCACGTGTATGTAACAGATATGCTTGTCATGTACGGCTTCCTTATGAGACACCTGTCAGTGAAGAATCAATTATTTCAACATTTCATGAAGTACGTGAATTTAACGGTCAACATTTTAATCAAACAACAGGAAAATGTGTATCACCACATGATGGTTTATATCTTGTCTGTGTCACTCTACATGAATTTGAAGATAAACTGATTAGAGTTGCTGTGTCGACTGGAGACGTGTGGTGGACGGCTATAGAAGTGAAATGTGCCGACACTAGCGCTGCTGGGTCAGCGGTTGTTGACATGAAGAAAGGTCAAGAACTTTACTTTCAAGTGTCTGACGCAGATCAAGGCGCAAAGTTATCTTGGCTAAGTACTTTTACTATCGTTAGTTTATAGAAATACAACACAAAACATGGTGGATGAAAAATTCCCTAACCAATAAAATTTGTAACAAACATATTAATTATGTGAACCATAGTACTATTTCATCGGTTCGAGTCTTAAATCTCTGTGCCGGAGATACGGATAAAGCGGTACTATACACTTTACCCAAGATTGTTAGTCCATAAATAAAAATATATACATTGTCAAAATGCTGCTTTAAATGTGCAAGTTAGTAAACTCTTTAAATATAAAAGCTGGTAAATTTCATTGACTAATTACAAGCCTACACTATCTTAGACAGAGATAAAATATGCAATTTGAAATTAAACGATAATATGTGTATTTAGAGAACGTTTGTTTTGATTAATGCATGTATCTTCAATCTTGTTTAAAATAAATATAACTAAACATTTTCATAAGAACATTGTTAGAGTTTTCTTGCGTGTAACGTTCATTTTGATTTCTCAAGTAACCACATTCTGTCGATTGTTGACATTTTCTCATGACGCATCGTAAATACATCCTGATACTGTCCTACATGCTTAATATAAACATTACGTATAGATACTACACCCAGCACAAAAAGCAGGCTTTTCACATATAACACGAGGTTGTAACCATTTTTAAAATTTGCCCAAGGGATTAATCTTATAACAAAACAACTGTAAAGCCACATTTTCAAATATTTGTATTAATTCGTGTATATTTTCGTATGCATATGAGTGTGCAGTATTAAATTAAGAGTTTCGGTTTACTAAATGACTTGTTACACATATGGTTTTAATTTATATTTCAGTATGCAGGATCTTTTGCCTTATGTTTTATTAATGAATGTTATCTCCTTCGGTAAACAAACAAGTAATAGACATCTACACTTTGTCACGCTCATGATATCATTACACTTATTACCTAAATATAATTTCAAGATTAACCTTACAAAATACAGATATTTTACAAATAAAAAGTCCAAGTATGTCAAGTTACAATGAGCAAACAACTAAAATCCCTCTGTATTATAACAGAGGGTGGGGGGAGAGGAAACTAAAATTTCCGGTGGAGCGGACACTGTTAAAAGCATATATTTTTTTATATAAATTCGTTTCGTTCGGAGAGGAGGTGGGAGAGGTGGATGAGATGCCTGGAAACAGTTGACATTCTCTAAAAATTGTGGTTTAATCTACCTGTATGTGTGTGCAGAGGCGTCGTGAGGCGGGGGTGCGAACCTTACGGGGTGACACCAAATAGCCTTAAAACAAATGTTGAAAGAAATTTTAGTTTCATTATGGAAACACTAAGCCTTTTAGACTTTATCTACTTATGCTGATTAGATTTGTGTTCAGATTTAAACTTGTAATTACAGATGAGTTGAAGTGTACACAAGCATTTCGAAAATGTAATTTTATTTTGACTTACCTTTAATTGTAATTTAGTAATGCTGGTTGTTACGTCGGCCATCATTTTATTAAATATCTGTGTGAACTTGCATTAATTTATTTCGTTTGTGTAGGTTGTTTTTATATTCTTTTTTATCTAGAGACAGTTTCTCTAGTGTTTTGTTTCTGCATTTTACTTAATTGTTCAATTCTTGTTGTGCTGTCGCTCTGTTAACATGTGTTCTCTCCATTGTTTCAGTTTTGACACGTCATCTTCAGTCTTTTGTTTCGTTCTTTCTAGAAAAACTGTAGCTTTCTCGAGAATTTTCACTCGATTTGAAAAATCGGAGTTGAATAAGATTTATTCTAGTTTGTAGATATAGTATACATTGTTTAAACACATTACAGAAACAAAATGAGAGATGCTTCCTCAGACTAGCAACAACAAAATAATTATTAAACTAGTGTATTATAACAACTCTTTTAAATTTAAACAGTTAATAACTATTTAGGCGACAATAGTTTCAATACCTATTAAGCTAATATTTGTTCTTTAGTTTAAAAACCTTTTTCACCAGTTTGAGCTTCCTCGGTGTCTGTTACACCAGGTGTCTTGTGTTGTCCAACTGTCTAAGTAGACTGCATGTTGTATTCTCTAAAAAATGATTGGTCTAAAGATGAGTTATTTGAAACTTATAAAAAAGTCTTTCATTGGTAAGAATATATTATTTCATTTAGAAAGCGATTGTAAAATAAAATATGTTTTGATTTTTACTACATACTTTATCAATCTAAAATATATTAACTAATGTCTTTGTTAAAAAAAATAAACATCACTTGTTTTTCGTATGCTCTATAATAAGTAAAATCTATTCACTCAAAAAATAACTAAATGCCATGACTAAAGTTTTCGTTATATGTTACATAATTAATATTTAAAAACTGACAGTAAACAAAAAAAAACATCCAAATGTTGAACCTATATATGTAGCTGCCAATTCTAAAAGCAAGATAGAAACGTTCACTTTACCAGCTAGAATATCTACATGTTCTATCAATGTAGCATTCGCGGATGCTACCATGGGAACTACATCTTTAAATGTCATATCAGTGTCAGACGTTTTATCTATCCAGTTCCTGGTGTTTAGTTTGATCTAATTAATTAGAGCACATAGATTAGTAGATAAATAATTTTCGTTTTTAATTCAGTTAAAATAAATGTTCGTCGTGAGCAAAGGCAAAAGCCATAACAATATTTATTTAAAATACAGATTTATAATTCAAATGAGTTCGATATAGAATATAGTATTGAAAAAGCATTATATATATATATATATGTATGTATTTATATGTATACATATAATATATATATATATATATATATATATATATATATATATATATATATATATATATATATATAAATTTGATTTACCTGTGTGACACAATGACTTAAATTAATTTGTACATGAACATGCATCTTCTCTAACTGTTCCAACAAAATATTCAAAGATTCATGGGTGGGGTTGTACTCAGACATCTGCATGTAAGTGATAGGCTAAATAAATGTTCATTTTAAAGTTACATCAGTATGTGTTTTATAAAGTGGCACCACTAAATTTTCGACTGATAATATTGTAGAAATCATTGATAGCAAAAGTATTTAATAGTGTGACACAAAAAAAGTATTGACTGCTAAAAAGTGCCACCAACCTTTTCCACTAGAGCTCGGGGGGGGGGGGGGGGGGAGAGATGATTTTTCACTAAAGTCAATAATAATATAAATTAAATATTTGAGGGGGCACAAAGTTGATAGTTCGACCCGGGGCCGGCTTTGGTAGCTACGCCTCTGATAACATATGACTGCAGATGCAATAGTCCCAGTGAAGTATTTCAACTACTCGACACAAATGTTACGTAAACGACTGTGTTAACTTTCAGCTTAAGCTTGCATTTTACCGCCTCCACATTTGATAAATTGTGCTTCAATTTCTCATTTTACCGCCTCGATATACAACCTATCATGTCTCCATATCGCATCTGAACTTCACCCACGTTAGTCGCTGTGTAAATAATTAAAACGACGTGTATGAGGTAAACAATTGTTAACTTACCTTTAGATCGAAAGTTGTTTTGATGAAATTGATTTATCTTGTGGCTGATCTACACGTAGTAAAGCATCAATACAAGAGAGATAACTCTAATAATGACAACGCTATCGGGAAAACCCGCTATTATTCAACGGAGGAAGTTCAGCTACTCTACACTCTACACAATTCCAGTCCTTTGATTCCCCACAAGAAGACTAGCCCTACTCAAGGTACTGTTAATCTTTAATCTATTTCATATATTTTTGAAACAGCATTTCCTTTTAATATAACCAAACAACCTAAAAATAATGAATTTCAAACAAAATAAAAAGCTCTTATACTTCTTCAATTCTTACTCAGTTATTATAATTATATTCTCTTAATTATAAAGCTTAATAATATACAATTTCTTTAAAATATACTTATTAATAGAAAGGTATGTAGGTCGTTTTATAAAAAAAACGTATTTTATTACTGTATATCTAGGCAATTCACAGACAAATTGTAAAATAGTTCATCACAACGCTGGATAGATAATGAAAGTGAAAAACGGAAATACCCAAGTGTATAATTTTAGCAAGCAGGAAATAACATAAGTGAAGCCAAGGAAAACTATCGCATTTTTCTGATATGTTTGACATAATTATCTACATTAGTTAACAGATCTAAAAAAGAAATATAACAATATTCATATAAAGTAGTTTTCATTTAATTGTGGATTGCCAGTTATAGTTTAATAATTAAGAACAAAAACTTAGTCTTGGTAGTTTTTTAACTTATTTATTAGATTTTATTTCATTGTTATAATTAACTCTTTATTTACTGAATTAAGTTGTGAATGAAATATTTTTTCTCAAACATAGAATTATTATATTGCTTTTGGTACACTAAAATTATACGTGACTCAAGGAAGATTATAAAAATATAAATAATTATAAAGAGTCTCCTTAAATTAAAATAATTTATGAAACCGCCAGTAGATAAAGGGTGGCACTTGAAATTTTCGGGGGGCGGGGTGAGGTGAGCGAACTAAAATTTCAAGGGGAGGCGGACACTGTTAAATATTTCGTTATGGGGGCGGTAAACTATCTTCGAGGGGGGTACCTTGAAGGAACACTTCTTCTTCTTCTTCGCTCTTAATTTTTAGTGTTGGCAGTGATCAAGCCTTATCTGCCAGAAGAAACACTGCTTTAGTTTTGCTTATTGATGATGACAGAGTTAACATTTTTTTTTTAAATTTAGTGTTATTAACATTTAGATGCCTTCAAGAATTCAGGCCAAGCTTGTTACAGAGCGCAAGAAATATTTGGAACAACAGATACAAGTTTTGGAACCTGTTTTGGGAAATATGAAAAATGTAAGTCATTACAAACTAAAAGTCTTCGTAATACTTAAAATGTAAAAATCATTTAATTCACGATAAAGTAGGTTTAACGTTTTTCGAAGTGCATGTGTTAAAAAACACAGAACAACCACACGTGTTTAGGAATAAAGCTCTGCCACACGTGACCAATTGACAATATTGTTGTTGTTTGATTTAACCAGGTTGTTGCAAAAAGTAAGGCGTGGCTAGAAGAAAAAACTGACCAATCATCTGTCAGCTACATCGAGCTATCACAAGAACTGGACACAGCAGCCACGGCCTTGTTGGATGTGACGTCACATATTTTAAGTCAGCACTTTAATAGTTTTTATAATTTAAAATCTCAAAGCCGCCTATGGTCAGTGGCGTAGCGAGGTCGGGTGTCACTGGTGCGGCACTTAATGCTGTCACCCCCAGAGGCGTAGCGATCCTCCCCGGGGACTAACTTTCAAATTTTCGATGTGCAACGCCACCCCCCCCCCCCCCCCTCCCAGAGGCGTAGCGATCCTCCCCGGGGACTAACTTTCAAATTTTCGATGTGCAACCCCACCCCCCCCCCCCCTCAAACTTTCGATTTGCACCCCCCCTCAAGTTTTTCTCTATATATTTTGCTGTTTTATGCCTTGGTGTCACCCCCCTAAATAGTGTCACCCGGTGCGGTCCGCACCCCCCGCCCGCACCCCCTCCCCCTCGCTACGCCTCTGCCTATGGTAATGTTGTCTCTGTGTTCAGTAGAGAAGCGTTTCTAATGAGAAAAATGTAACGAAATTGTTTCACAGTTTAGTTTATAGACATTACAAATACTATGTTAAAGAGATATAATTTTACTGCTGACCGAAAAACAGACCACTTTCCACTTTTATCTAACATTAGTGAATATTGTAAATCATTATATGAACAAAATACATAATTTACAATCACATTGTGTAACATTATTCGCCCAAAGACAATACTGAAGAGCCTTAAGGGTTTATAGAACGATAAATTAAAAAAAAAACTTTTGGTAATAAATTCGATAATTAGTCAGGTAAAAGTAAAATTTAAAACAAAATAGTAGGTAAAATATATAGAGATTTCGGACATTTTGGAACTGTTTGTGTTTGCTTAAATTTGGATCGTATTCAAAGTTTTTTTTCATCAGAACATTACATGGTTGGCGTTATAGTTTTAACTAGCTAAACCAGTAAAACTTATAGTGTGTACTATAGTATCCTTGTTCAATTAAACTGCAATAAAAATAAAATTATAAATCCGATTCCACCAGACGAGGACAACATGGATGTCAACAAACCAACGCCATCTTTACCACAGCCTGACACACAGACAACAGCAACATCTCTAACAGTAGAATCACCAAAACAACTCATCACACAAGTTCAACACTCAGCGGGTATAGTATAGTATGCTTTGGTGTAACACCTTAAATAGCATCATCATATACTTGATACAATTTTAAAATATGTACAAGTATTGTATTTTGTAAGAAAATGTACGATTGATACCTTGGTTTTGTTAAATTTTTAACACACTATATTTTTAAGATTTCGGTATTTTAAATTACAAACTTATATTTGTGACTATTTTCAGTTGAAGAACATCCTGACCTAGAGCGAAGACTCTCCTATATTGAAACAACACTATCTTCACTACAGGACACACAACACAAGTCTACAGATGACATAGCAGAAATAAAACAATGGAGAGACAACTTTGTAACAGAACAGAGTGACATGGGGGTAAACATTGAACAACTGACTAAAAAACAAAAGCAGAATTTTAAAAACCTTAGAAAACAAATGAGTGAACAAGATAACAAAGTAAAGGAGCTGAACAAAGAAATTGAAAGTTTAAAAGAAAAGGAAACCAAGTCAAACAAAACACTAGAACAATTTTCAAGAGATATGAAGGAATATGAGATCAACGTACACAAAATAAATAAAGAGATGCAAGATCACGCAGACAAAACAGATATTTTAACTCAAGAAATGAAAAGACATTCGGATACGATGTCTACCCTACAAGAAGAGATTTCTAAAAACTTGCTGAAGACATCAACTCAATTAGAAAAGGTAAAATTGCTAATTATCTGTGTACACAATTTTACACATACTGGCCACATAACTTATTTCACATTTTATAACCTGGTTAATTCAAAACAAAACTTATAAACTGTATCAACAGTTATACCTTTAATATAATACTAATTTTAAGACACATGTTTTTGATAATTTTAATGCATAGTAAAAATAATTAAAATTTTAATTCTTTTATTCAATTTTTTGCTCTTTAGTACATTTTAATGAACAAGCTCCTGCACCAAAGATTGATGCCCATTGAAAAATTGATTCAAATCTTTAACCAGAAGTTGGAAACAAGGGAAAAAAGGATAACAAAGGTATAGGCCTACGTGTAGTAATTTGATAAAAATAAATTATGACGTTGATAATTGTGCATTAATTTTTAACACAATGTTAGCTGACCAGTTAATACCATGTTTTCTAAATTAAGCGAAACATTTAAGCTTTTATAATTATAAAATAATCCATGTTTTAAATTATGTTCTATTCTTACAAGCTGCCAAACCCTATTAAAATCAGCGCAGTGATTTAATGTTCTACGTAACTATGTGATATTTTCAATCATTTTATAAAATCTTTTTTAGCTGGAAAATATTGAAGATGCTATTTCAAAATTGTCCAAAGATTTGAATCTAATAGGTAAGTTTGTCTTACATTTTTTATTCCAAATCATACAGCCAGGCAGACCATATCGTGATGTTCGTTAGCCAGACCATAACGTGATGTTCGTTAGCAAGACAGACGATATCGTGATGTTCGTTAGCCAGAACATAATGTGATGTTCGTTAGCCAGACAGACCATAACTTGATGTTCGTTAGCCAGACAGACCATAACGTGATGTTCGTTAGCCAGATAGTGATTTATAACGTGAACACATACGTTATGTATGATTATAACATAACACAAAAAACTATTGCTGTACTTTAGTGACGTATTACGTCACCTACTACACTCGTAGTTTTAATACGTAGGACACGATAAACTATCACCACTAACGCTGAGGACCGTACTAAACTAGAGGTCTAGTGTTTCATTCTGTGGTCTTAGACTTAATTATGTAAACATTATGGATTATTATACACAATTCATTTTTTTCAAAAACAATTGTTTTATTTGGGTTAGCCATTTTTACTTACATTCTGAACTGCATGCAAAACACATATACTGAGTTTATTTTTAGTGTTAATTACATAAAATAATTAAATAACAATTCACAAACATTATGAATCTAATAGTCAGAGCATGTGTGGAATTAAACATGTGCATCATAAATGTTTTCTAATCAACAGAGTCACGTGTATGTAACAGATATGCTTGTCATGTGACGCTTGTTGATCCCACACCTGTCAGTGATGGATCAATTATTTCAACATTTGATGTAGTACGTGAATATAACGGTCAACATTTTGATCAAACAACAGGAAAATTTGTATCACCACATGATGGTTTATATCTTGTCTGTGTTAGTCTAAATGAATGGGAAGATAAACGGATTATAGTTCGTGTGGTGGCTGGAGACGTGTGGTGTAAGTATATTGAAGTGAAATGTGCCACCACTAGCGCTGCTGGGTCAGTTGTTGTTGACATGAAGAAAGGTCAAGAAATTTACCTTGAAGTGTTTCATGCAGATCAAGGCGCAGCTTTATCCTGGCTAAGTAGTTTTACGATTATTAGCTTATAAAAGTACAACACATAACATTATGGATGGTAAATTTTTAAAAGAATAAAATATGTAACCACCATGTTAAACACACGCTAACAACTTACTATGTATGGAGACTGCATGTCTACAAACACTTGAATGGTTTACATGAAATATGTTTAGTTATCATTTTGTTTCTATTGATTTAATATGATCACTAATTATGTTTTCTACTTGACCAACGTTATAGAATATAAGTATGTACCATTGCCTTCACTGTATAGGAGCACAAACGTATTTGAATACGTTTGGTTTGTAAAAAAAATAAAACGTATTTACCTTGTTAAATATGTAACTGTCATCAGAACCCTTGAGACAAACCAAATGAACTTCCACAAAGACGAATGTTAAAATATCTTCACTGTACATCATCAATATGTGCCCTATGTATCGAAAGTAGGATATTAATCAAAGTTAGTCATTTGTAAAATAAAAATTACAATTATTTTTATTTTACTACAAGTATCTGTAATTGTGAACACTACATTCGTTCAATAAATAAATTACAGCTTATCCGTATTAAAACATGTTTTCCTTTATTTAGTAACACTGTATCTTTAAATTAACAAACATCAACACAAACAAAAATCGATACATCTATTAAACTAAAATAATTATTTATATAATTATTTATATAAACATGTGTATGTGTAATAAAATGTGTAACATATAATTGCTACAAGAAACAGCGAACGCGAAATTAGAAGCACATGACCCATTATCTTTTTTTAAATTTAGTTGAATACATTCTAACATTAGAAAACCGTTATTTTTATTTGACTCATATTAGACTTACAAAATCACTTACTGTTGATATACATCATATATGTAATGATTATTTGACGTCAATTATATATTTTGATATATGGGAGATTTAAGTGTTGAGTGCTGTACCAGTAGACTGCTTATAACTTCTGTAACAGATTAGTGTTGAAGAGTAGGATAAAACAGGTTAGTTTATTAAATCTACATGATAATATTAAACATTGGTTTAATTCTACATCATTTCAAAAAATAAGGTATATAAGCAACATAACCAGAGTGTGAAAATCTGGGTCTCTTCCTATTGCACTTTCATAGGGTAGGCCTACTATTGTTTCAACTTGCTATAGTGTATGAATATATCCCTTTCGAAATGCCATAATGTTAATCTGTTTTTTATTAGTTAGACATTAAGATCATTTTTATAATACAAATCTCAACTCATAAACTATATTTCTGATCATTAACAAAAAAAAAAAAAAAAACACTCGCCCACTCATTTGTTTATTTGATATTGTCTAAACCCAAAGTACAGATGGACTGACCCCAAACGGCCCACAAAGATCAGATGTTACCGTAAATGGGATCAAATATTTGACAGACCGACAACGAGATAGGAGATCATAAAAACTGGCAATAAAATTTGGTATATTCGATACTCTGTACTTGGTGTTAGTCTTTGACATAACTTGTTAATGTGTCTTTTACTAGTCTTTGAACGATGCATCAAACCACGGACCTAGAACAGACTATGTTATTAATAGATTTCATTATGACCTTTACGTATACAACTCTTTAGGCTTAGTTATTACAAGTATACCACCTCACATACCCGATGTTTTGTTTTAATTCTTGAATATTTACGACAAAAAAGCTATTAGCAGTTTTAGGCACAGACATTAATCGATATAAACAATAGGTTTTTCCATCTTTGCTTTCAGAAGTTGGACAACTATATAGGCAGAAGATCGCTTAAAGCACTTTAGCTGACTTACCGTTTCTATCTTAAAATGTGTACATACGATAAACAAAACAACGAAGCATTACAATGAAAGTTTTTTTTTATTAGTACGTACGAAAACACATCTATAAACTAACAATAGTGAACCCACTGCCAGCTTGTAGTACAGCTCCTCCATCAGCCTCAATTACCTTAAAATTAAATCTCTTCTCCTTTCTTCACGTCAACCACAGTTGATCCACTGACAGATGTTTTAGCTGAAGTTACATAAATATTTTTTTTAGAATTGCCTTCAACAGATACCTTTATTCTAATCATTTTATCATCTCTCCCCTGTAACGTTACAATAACAAGATAGCTTCGCTCATCTGGTGCTACAAGTTTTCCTGTTGTCAGATTAAATCGGCTGCCGTTACGTTCCATGACACTATAGAATGTAGAAATAATTGACCCAGCAGTTACTGGCGTATTGTTCTTCAGATGAATTTGACAAATGTAAGGCGAACACACACGGGGCTCTGTTAAAAAATTCATGGTTTATTGAAGCACATATAGACATACTATATTCTATAACAGCAAATAAAAGAGACAATGCAAGAATGCATGAAATTAAAATAGTAATGTCACCTACTTAAAACTTGAAACATAAACATATGAACACCTTTGTCAAATACTTAAAATCCAGTAAACCATTTTTAACATACTTCCTCAAAATTCTGGAATATTTGAAGCACAACATATAATATTGCTGAATTGTAAATATTAAAAGCCAATAACATTAATTTTTTCCATGCTAAGATTTTTTGCGTGTTAAAGTATAACCAACGCTGTTCTCTCCCTGTATATATATATATATATATATATATATATATATATATATATATATATATATATATATATATATATATATATATATATATATATATATATAATGTATTTATTTATTTATTTATATAACATAACAAAAAATTATAAACGATACGTTAACTTTATATAGCTAACGGCCTATAAAAGAGCTATACAATAGTTGACGTATAGTTAAAAACCTCAAGATGCAAACAATCATTACAAAAAGAACATCAAAATGTACTTGTTAAAAAAAAAAGTTAAAAACAATTTACCAAGTGCTTGGACATATTTTAACAATTTTGTAACATCAACTTCTACAGATGAAAACTGAAATTACATTGTCATTAGACAATAAGAATAAATATTAATTATAGTTTAAATTTCTATTTAATCTATTTGAACCTCAGTGTATAAAAATCATATTATGTTTTAAGTTTTAAGACAGGAAAATGAGAAAATAAATGATTAAATGGAATTAAGTGGTATATAAGTTTTGTGCTCGTTCAAATAAAAAAAAACATACCTACGATTTTTTTTTACCTTTCTGATATTTTTCTCCCTTGTCTCCAAGTTCTGTTTAAAAGTATGAACCAGTTTGTTAATGGGCATCAATCTTTGTTGTAGGAGTTTGTACATCACACTGTGATAGAAGGAGGGATTTTAAAATATCATTTAACACCTAGAATGACAGTGACGTAATTTTGTACAGTTATATTCCCCAAGGACACCACATCGCTATTTAAAATTATGGGGCAACAATTGATCGAAAAACACAATGATGCTTCCTTAAATTCATTATGGGTGTGATGGGGAAATAGAACTTACCCTCCCATCATCATGATGGATCCCAGAATAAACAATTTCAAAACAAATTTTATAAATTTAACTACAGAGATAGGCTACTACAAATGTAATTTTAATATATTACAAAACATATATAATTTAAAAACGATTGAGTGTGGGTGTAGCGGGTAGGAATATCATTGTTTCAAGAGACAGTACAATCCAATATGTAACATATAAATAATATATTGTGGTGTTCAGTTGAATTAGCGGTTAAGAAATATGTTATTAAAAGTTCAAAACTACCTTAGCAAACAATTCTCAAATTGGGTAGCTCTATCAACAGCAATTTGTTTCCGACGTCTTGTAAGTCGGAAATCAAATCAGATAAACTTTTAATTTCATCTCTATAAACTTGCATCTCTGTATTTATTTTGTGTAGGTTGTTTTCATATTCTTTCAAATCTAGAGACAGTTTCTCTAGTGTTTTGTTGGAGTTGGTTTCTTTTTCTTCCAAACTTTAATTTCTTTGTTCAGCTTCTTTACTTTGTTATCTTGTTCGCTTATTTGTTTTCTTTGGTTTTCCAATTTATGCTTTTGTTTCTTACTAAGTTGTTCAATTTTTGTGTGTTTCTGTGACAAAGCTATCTCTCCATTCTTTTATTTCTGTTATGTCAACTTTAGCGTTATGAGCCGTGTCTTGCAGAGAACTTACAGTTGTCTCTATAAGCTCCAGTCTACTGACTATCTCTGTAATGTATTTGAAAGTAATAATGTATGAAACAAATGTTAAAACTTGATTATAAAATCGTATCATTTGCCTTAAATTTTTTCAATGCAAGTAACTATTTTATTTGGATTTAACATATTCCTTCAGTTAAACTTAATTTTTTTTTATACCAGTTGAAAGTTGAGCTACATTAAATTCACAACGGTCAACTTTTTCTGGTGATGTAGTTTTTGGCATAGACTGAGATAAATCTTATTTTATTTTATGACAATGAAATCGTCGTCGTCATCATCTTTTCCAGTTTTAAAAAAGGACACGTAAATGAAGTAGCAATTAATGACATCAGAATACAAGTGATAGTTTGGTAAGTTTTATGCTCAGCCATCTTTGTTTCCTAATCTGAAAATATGTACCCGTCAGAGATTTATGGATTTAGGAACGTCACACACACTGGGGGCCAAGATCCGAACTCGATAATTTACGTGGTTAAAGTCGAACGCTCTAACATACGATAATGATGATCGCTTAAAATGACAGGCCGTATGTACAAATGTACCGAGATTCGAACTCGTGACTTTTGTGTTAGCAGTCGTAAGCTCTAAAAATGCATTAAAATGTTTACTCATAATTTTAGAACAGGCATCCAACATTGCCATGGTCGCTGAATCAAGTTCCTGGCATAGCTCGACGTAGGTGACAGACGGGTTGTCATTTTTATCTTCTATCCACGTCTTACTTTTTGCCACTGCCTTAAAATGTTAAAAGTGCATACGTGAAATAAAATGAATAACTTAGTACATGATTGTATAATATAGAGTTTGTTAATAAAATATTTTAAAAAAACTGACACATAACTGCTGACTACTTACTTTTTCATAATTTCAAGTGCATGTTCCATAACTCGTATCTGTTCCTCCAAATATTTTACGTGCTCTTTAACAAGCTTAACCTGAATTCTAGGACGCATCTAAACAAATTAAATACGAGATGAGTGATTGCAAAACCTGTTCTAGTTGATATTTTACCAACTTTTATAAATTAGTCAGTCTTATGGGTTTAAAATTAAGTTCACTCAAACACTATTCATACATATTCATATTACAATAGCTACGTTTCAAACACAGTTTATCGTCTACAAAAACAGGCCAATATGAATCTCACGACCCCCACACGATATAAAACCCACTAGCCATCGGTACCCGTTTCACGTGAATTATAGGCCTATATATTTTAAAATTTTGTACTTGTTTGAGAAAAATAATTTATGAAATAGTTATTGGTCAAAACGCATTGTGCTTTACTACACGCTGAACGATATTAATGACAAAGCAAAGAAATAACTAATTAGCTAAAAATCCGACACATTTAACATAACACAGGCACACACTGATTAAGTGACTTAAATGATTCCTTTTAAAAATCTGGCTATTCAATGGTCATTATGTTGTTTTTAAGTAATTTGTATTAGTTTGACCGATAAAATTGTATATATTTCATAGCGTAGGCCCAACGTCTTGATGAGTAGATCTATAGATCTAGATCGAAATCAAATTTGAATGAAGCAGTTCCTTTCTTTATAGTCTAAAATCTGAAGATTCTAGAATCTAGAATCTAGAGTAGATATAGTCTAAATCTAGATCTTACCGACTTATTAGCATATACGTCTAGTTTTTGCGTAGATTTAGATCTAGTCTAGATCTAGAATCTCTAGATCTAGAATCCAAATAGATAAAATAAATTGTATAAGTTTAGGTCGGAAAAATTGTATTGCATACATTTCATAGCGTACGTAGATCTAAATAAAATTTGAATGAAATAGTTCATTTCTTTTTATTCTATACTCGGCAGATGACGTCATTAGTTAATGTAAAAACATTAGTGACATCATTGTTTCATGGGTTCTTTTTCACAACAATAAACACTTTTCCTGTTGCATAATTAAAACTGTTTTTCTACATTCGAATATGCCTTTTTTATTTTTCTTCTTTAAATAAAATGTTGGTTATACATTTAAAACATCTACCATATTATTTTCAACAAAAGTCCGTATCAAGTTCTACATATATCGCTGAAGATTCTGATGTGAAAAGAGAGAGAGAGAGAAGTGCGCATATTGGCTTTTATATATTAGGATATTTTAATTTTTCTCTTAAGGCTATAGTCCCCTACATATTTTATTTTAACATACATTTCATTCCTCAACCTTAACTCTAACTTTTTAATCCATAAACCACATCCTCATCGGTACACCTACTTTACGAACAACCCAAATCTTAATCTCATATTTACACTTTCAGAAACACAAGTTCTACAACATAATTTCTACCATAATTAATACGGTCATAATGAACGACATAGTCATATTCTACCGGAAGTAAAAGTAATGTTAGAATATCTCGATTTATTGATCAACTAAACTCAAAATATGTACATGTTACCATTATATGATTATGATACAACTTATGTATTATTTACCTACGTTAATTTGACCTCAGTCCTTATAGTTGTCAGATTGAAGGATGTAAATATTGTCTGTTTGGTTTGTTTTACGGCTAGAAACTAGCTTGTAAGTAAAACTGAAACAGCTTAATGGGAAATCCCGAAATTAACTGCTGTTTAGGTAACAAAGTTGTCAAGACGACAAAGTTTCACACACGTAGATTTGTTATTTAGAGTTTTTAGTTGGCATTACTTTGATATTAATATAGAATTGAAATTGTAAGTAACATTTAATGTGTTGTGTGTAAGAAACAGTATTACCTAATATCTTTTACTTTAAAAGTCTTTACACATATGTTATTTTAAATAGGTCACTAGGCCAACCGCACACAACACGTCTTACACACAACTACACACATGTACTATCGCTAACATACAACACAAAAACATAAACTTACGGTGCCACTAACAAAGCAGGACGATTTGATTTCGAACTTAAAATAAATGTTTTATAGGTTATTGTTGATTTATAAATAAATGAACGCACGATATCTTAAAGTGCTCTTCTTTTAGTTTGAAAATCAAAGTTCATATAAAGTCAACCAAAGTTCTTACACGTAATTTGAACCCCAAATCAAAACACAAATGATAGCTCACATAATGTTTATTAATTTCATGATAATTTATGACGTGTGTGTTACTGTAAGGTGCCGGGGATCGGTGGATATTAAACGTTCTGGTATATATGCACGATAATTTATATATATTAATACATTATTTTTAAAAGTGACCGTTATATTATTATTTAGATGCCTTCAAGAATTCAGGTCAAGCTTGTTACAGAGCACAAGAAATATTTGGAACAACAGATACAATTACTGGAACCTGTTATAGGAGATATGAAAAATGTAAGTTTCTACCAACTTACAATAATCTTTACATTTTCGTGTTCAAACAAACGTTCATACATTCAACAAGATGTAGTGTTAAAAGTTTAATTGATGTTGTGCATTTCTAACAAAAAACCCATTAAAATATGAACGGTAGAAACATAAATGATATTGTCTTTCATCATAGGTTGTAGCAAAAAGTAAGGCGTGGCTAGAAGAAAAAACTGACCAATCATCTGTCAGCTACATCGAGCTATCACAAGAACTGGACACAGCAGCCACGGCCTTGTTGGATGTGACGTCACATATTTTAAGTCAATACTTTAATAGTTTTTATAATTTAAAATCTCAAAGCCTATAGTCATGTAGACTGTGTGTTCAGTAGTAAGCGCTTCTATTGAGAAAAATGCAATGGATTTTTTAAAAGTTTAATTTAAAGACATTGCAAACACTATGTTAAACGAATATAATTTTATTCTGTCGACCGACTAACAAACCACTTTCATTTATATAAATTCGTTATTTCACTAGAGACTCTTAATTTGTTAAACAAAATTGAAGAATGTACAATCGCATTGTGCAACTTTACTCGCCCTAAGACACGTTTAAAGGGAAATAAGGATTTATTGAAAGTTATACGTTTGTTAGATAATTTGGTATCTACTATTAAATTCCTAAACAGACGTGTAAAAGAGAAACATCATGTGCGACTTGTACAGTGGCGTAGCGAGGTCGGGTGTCACCCGGTGCGGCACTTAATGGTGTCACCCCCCCCCCCCCAGAGGCGAAGCGACTCTTCCCGGGGACAAGCTTTCAATTTTCGATTTGAACCCCCCCATCAAAAAAACTTTCGATTTGCACCCCCCCCCCTCAAAGTTTCGATTTGCACCCCCCCCCCCCCCCGCTTCAAATTTTTCTCTATATATTTTTACTATTTTTGCCTTGGTGTCACCCCCTTAAATGGTGTCAACGGTGCGGTCCGCACCCCCCGCACCCCCCTCGCTAAGCCTCTGGACTTGTATACTCTAGACATTTTGGAATACTTTGTGTTTATCTATATGTTGATCATATTCAAACTTTTTGTTTTCATCAGAGTGTTTCATCATAATTATACATTACAGTTTTAAATATATAAGCAGTTATCATATTGTATGCACCAAAATCATCGTTTATTTAACGGCAATTTAAAAAAAAACCAGACGAGGACAACTTGGATGTCAACAAACCAACGCCATCTTTACCACAGCCTGACACACAGACAACAGCCACATTTCTAACAGTAGAATCAACAAGACAACTCATCACACAAGTTCAACATACAGCTGGTATATTAAAGTATTCTTTGGCATAACACGTAAAATAGCATCATCATATACCTTGATGTAATTTCATTTTAACACTATATTTTTCAAGATTTTTGATATTTTAAATTACCAACTTATAGTTGACTATCCTCAGTTGAAGAACATCCTGACCTAGAGCGTAGACTCGCCTATATTGAAACAACACTATCTTCACTACAGGACACACAACACAAGTCTACAGATGACATATCAGAAATAAAACAATGGAGAGACAACTTTGTAACAGAACAGAGTGACATGGGGGTAAACATTGAACAACTGACTAAAAAACAAAAGCAGAATGTTAAAAACCTCAGAAAACAAATGAGTGAACAAGATAACAAAGTAAAGGAGCTGAACAAAGAAATTGAAAGTTTAAAAGAAAAAGAATCCAATTCAAACAAAACACTAGAGAAACTGTCTCTAGATATGAAGGAAAATGAAAACAACTTACACAAAATAAGTAAAGAGATGCAAGATCACAGAGATAAAACAGACATAATCGCACATACAATTAAAAGACATTCTAATCTGATTTGTTCTTTACAAGAAGAATTAAAAAATAATGAGGCTTATACAGATAAGAGTAATGACATATTGGCAAAGGTAAATATTTAGTTTAGCAATTTTAAAAAAAAAACATGTGCTACAAGTTAATATTGTATTGTAATAAAGTATCGCTGTAGTTTGCTCTAGAGCAGGTTCAGGGGTCTCCAAACTACGGCCCGTGGGCCGGATGCGGCCCGTAAGGTCCTCTCATCCGGCCCGCGGCGATCTTTTTGTCCACGGAAAAACGTTTGTTGGTGATGGCTGATGAACTTTGCCCAGAAAAATCATAGACATGTTTGGAATTAACTGGCCCCCGAACTGAAATTTGATAGTTAATGCGGCCCTCGGACTGAAAAGTTTGGAGACCCCTGCTCTAGAGCTTCAAATATTTTTTATAGTTTCTAAAATAGAAAAAATAATCTTCGCTTCTGGCCTAAAAATTCACATTTAACTTACATTGTTTGTAATTATATATATATATATATATATATATATATATATATATATATATATATATATATATATATATATATATGTGTGTGTGTTATGTCCGTCGTTACAGCTAGGCGTTATGTACATAATCGTACAACAAAGAATGATGCCCATTGACAAAATGATTCATATACTCAATAAGAACTTTCAGACTAGGGAGTTAACTCTAAATAAACCGGGAGTGATCTCCCCTAAACTTTCTCGAATATTCTTATATAAAACAACAGGGGATGGGAACTCGGGCTATTGACATGATTTTTACAAGCTTTTATTTAACTCACTTCCTCGTCAGTCGACAGTCTGTCTGTCTAGACGGAAACGCAGGAGTGAAAATTCGGACAGTTCTATTTGACCGACACGATTCACAGTTGGCACGTGGGTCAAGACATGAAGACAATGCAATCTGAAACTAAATTTGACTTAATTGGATGCCTAATTGATTTTTTATGAATTAATTAAAATTTGGACCGGATTAGTAGGCATGTCTAGCCAACCACACCACACGCGTCATCAGCTTCAATAGCGTCAATGGCTGCGTTCAAAAACCATTGCGCGCCTACTGAACGTGATGTTCAGTAGGCGCGCAATGGTTTTTAGTCATGTAACTCTATTGTAAATAAAACATGTAAAGTACTGAAAAAAAAATTCATAAAAAACGTTTTAATAACAAGCTTTTATGTAATGATGCACTAAAAAGTAGAAAATAAATTATAGACTACTATTTAAATAACTATAAAGAAAAGCGTGGGTGTCTTCCTTAACATTACTAAAGGTATCCAATAGATACTAAAGTGACCCACGCTTTTCTTTATAGTTATTTAAATAGTAGTCTATAATTTATTTTCTACTTTTTAGTGCATCATTACATAAAAGCTTGTTATTAAAACGTTTTTTATGAATTTTTTTTAATCCATTTTAAATACTTAAAGTTTTAAAAATAGAATAAAATCTCGTAGACAAAATAATTGCACGCCAAGTGAACTAGTGAACGCCAAATAAAAAAGTGCACAATAGCGCGCAATATTATTAGTACTTTAAAAATTTACATTAGTTTTTTGAGAAATCGGAAGTAGCGTAAATTACTAATTCCGGTCAACGGAAATTAATCAAAATTTAACAGAAGGTAGAGAATTAGATCTTTTACTTACATGTGAAATTTCATTTATCTATCTGAAATAGTACTCAAGTTATAGGCTTTTGAAAAATTCAAAGTAGGAAAAGTACTACTTCCGGTTATCGGAAATCGCTCAAAAGTTGATACGGATCTACGATTTTGATAAAATACTTATATATGAAATTTCATCAACCTAGCTATAACGGTACTCAAGTAATCGTGTTTACACACGGACACACACACAGACATACGGACAGAATTGCAAAGCCCAGTTTTTCAGACTGGATTACGCATAAAACCTCTTAATTTTGATAAATCTGGATTGATAATTTTTGCCCGATTAAAATAAGTCCTCTATACTTCGGATGTGATGAAGGACTGAGGTGTAATACGGTGAAAATTGTTAAAATTTCAAGTGATTTTTGTGCACGATTACAATACTTTCTCTATACTTCGTATATACGAGAAAGTAAAAAGGTAAAAATCAATACAATGTATTAGGCAGAATTCATTTCTTTTATTTTTGAACTGCTGTCATCTCTTATCATCTCTAGACAAAATACAAGGTATACCTTTTTTTAAAAAAAAATTACATTGAAGTGCATGTAAGGCAATTATGAAATTATTCTTAAAATTTGAAAGAATAAAAAAAAAATATAATTTTATTGGTTCAGATAGGAATAATAGAAAAAGATATCTTGACATTGGTGACTGATTTTAAACTACTTGGTGAGTTTTTTATTTAAATGCGAGAGTAACATTTTGTTTTCGATAATTCTATACAATTTGTACAATGTGTGTGTGTGTGTGTGTGTGTGTGTATGTGTCCCCGTCACTCCTCCATCACCTGAGTTACTTATATTTTTGACTGAAAAAAGTTAAATTATAAGTGGATTCTTATTTAAATATATAATGACAGCGTATGAGAATCCGTAAGTGTGATGCCTAATTGAACTTAGCGTTGCTTTTAAATGAAGACTAGACTACCCGTTATCCATAGATATTTGTGGGTTTCGGGGTCATCCATAAATGACATCGCGTTTGTCACTTATCATCACAAAATAACCAGACCCCACATTCAAAAAATACGTCACAGCTCCGACGTTTTTGTCTTTTACAAAAAACTTAATACGGCAGAGCATGGATTTATATGCTGAGGTCACAAAAACAGGACATCTCTACTTCACCTGCCAGTGTCCCGCCAACTCAGACATGTTTTTGTCTTTAAAACACCGATTTCAGCTGAGCATAGGTCTGACCACACTACCCCTTTTATATGCTGACGTTACAGGTGAACTCTACACCTACCCAACTCTACTTCACCTGCCCAGTGTCACGCCAAGTCTCAGAAAACATGTTTTTATTGTTTAAAAAAAAGATTCCGGCCGAGCATAGCTCTGATCACACTATCCTTCATATCCATTCATATGCTTAGGCAAAGAAACAGGTGATACCTGCCCTGTATCCCGCCAAGTTCCGATAGGCAACTTTATCATTCACATCTAAAAAAAAGTTTATAAAAAAATAAAAATAACAATGACATGATGTGTCTCGAACCTAATACACAAAGATCTTATCTATCTAGTCTCGTGAAAACAGGGACGTAACTACGGATATATTCTACTTTTATTCTAGATCTATAACTTTTCCTTCGACAGCTGATTTGTAGATTCTAGATCTAGAGACAGTTATCGTATACTAAAATAAAAAGAACTGTTGAAAATTGAAAATGGTGTTGGAACCTAATAAAAATAGAAAACGGACGTATCGTTAAAGCTATAGCCGGCAGAACATTAGCTTTATAACGCGTTAAACATTTGAATGGGAAACAAAATCTTCGATGGAAGCCGCCATTATTGTTGTAACCAAACGGAAAAGCAAAAAAACAACAACAAATAAACAAAGAAATAAATAATCAAATATGTAAACAAACTTGAGTTTTAGTAGTATAAAGATAGATGGATGTTATGTCAGAAAAACTCAATTCTAGATTTAAAATCAATGCCTATAAAAATACAAGAAATAATTAAGATGTAATGTAACACCACATTTTCACCATTTTCTCATTTTCGTTTGAGAGTTCTTAGCCCAGATGACTGCACATTAGCTAATCACCCAGGGTTAGGAACCTAAGCAGTCATTACTATTTTTTTTTAATTCAATATTCCCATTCCGAACACGGCTTGAGGAAAATCGTAAATCACGCAATTGTCTCTAATTATTGCAATTATTTTAAGTTTGGTTTAATAATGTATTAAATAATTATTCATATAACGTTTGGATAAGAAAGAAACCGCCTCATAATTATTATGATTGTGATTCAGATTAAGTTAATCACGGGTTTTGGTTTGTTTTTTTCCCCCAAACAACAAAATAGAAATATGGTGCACCAATGCAATGAATGCATAAGCAACGTGCTACAACCACCAACGCGCATCGCCTTTTTGTCCCTGATTAGTATATATATATATGACCAAGTAGTAGTAGTAGCTGCCAGCAGCATGTGTGACGTTCTTTGTTAGGTCTTGTGCGACCCCTTCCTCACGGCACCCAAATGCGACAGAGGCGCGTACAACCTCCTGTCTGTAGGTTTTCGTCAACGGTCTAGCAAATCCCACCTCTAGTCCGAGGACACCTCATTTGGTACCGATCCACCCACCTGATATAAAGAAGCACACTCTGCCCGCAGGTTCAATATTACTTCACTTTATTCCTTCATGAATAATCACAGTTCATAATTAGGTGAATCTCAACAGACCTCCACTGTCACAGGCCCACACACTGTATCACTCCGTAACTCAATCTACTAACACTTGGATCTCACATCTTCTGTCTCTCAGCTCACATCTTCGATCTCTACGTTTCTGCATACATCTGTCTCGCTCTACATCTTCTATTTGGCTCTCCTCATACCCAAATGTATCGCTCTTATATACACACACAGTCACACGCAGATGTACATCCGGTGTTGTCAACAATGTCAAACCATTCTATTTCGATACCAACTATTGCATGGTTTCTATTAATAGTTTGTCCATTTGGCTTCAAGTTTACACGTCAAATTCTATATTAGTCCCATCATCTACGTCACAACAGTTTCATTATGACTATAAATAACTCTAACTAAGTTCAGTCTTGGCCTTGACCTCTATGACAACCAAATAAGTTGTTTTTGTAACTACACTAGTTACACACATATATATATATATATATATATATATATATATATATATATATATATATATATATATATATATATATATATATATATATCCAGGCTATCAAAGGCCTGCTCATAATCTATGATATTAATATAGAGAGATAAGTTGCAGGGTAGCAATTTGGTCTACGCATGACCTTTCTTTCCTAAAGACCGTCTGTTGATCTCAAAAATGGGGATCTATCACTTCCTTCATTCTGTTTAACAATATTATGTTGAAGACTGCCTAGGATGGACACAAGGGTTATCCCTCTATAGTTAAGGCATGCACTAAGATCGCCTTTCTTTGGAAGTTTTATAAGTAGTACCTCCTTCCATTTATCTTCCAAAATTTTCTTGAAGAGTGTGTATAGTAGTGTGGTGCTAGTTTCTATATCTACTGCCGGTATACTATCTATTCCTGGAGCCTTCATTTTTTGTGCTGCTTTATAGCTTTATGTATCTCGTCTTTTGAAGGTGGGTTACAGTCTATAGGTAGATTACTTTCAGCTGGTGGTATGTCTTGCGTGCATTATGGTGTTGGTCTATTCAGTAGTCCTTCAAAATGTTCTGCCCATCTCTTCCTCTGTCCTTCCACTAGCCTTGGTCTTCTCTAGCCTCTCTGGCTTACTGTACTTCCCAGATATTTTCTTAATTGTATTGTACATGTCCCTATTATTACTATGGCACAGTGCTTCTTCCGCTTCTCTCGCCAGCAGTTCTAAATAACTCCGTTTGTCTTTCCTTGTGCATTTCTTGACATTTTTGTTTGTTTCAGTGTATTCTTCCAGTGCTTTTAATTTAGCAGCCCGTGTACGGCTGTTGTTTAATGTTGCCTTCTTTCGTTTTCTCACTTCAATAATTTTCATAGTATCTGCTGAAATCCATTCCTTAGTTTGTATTTTGATAGGGCCTAGCATTTCTTCACATGTTGATGTAGATATTTTTTAAGGTTTTATCCTTGTTTTCTCTATCGTCTTTTCCTCTATTAGCTCTTGTAGGACCTGAAACCTATTGGAAATATGGAGTTTAATAAATTGAGTTCAGAGTTTAGAGAGGTCCTTCAGCAGGCCAGTGTTATACCTGTATTTCCTTTTGTTTTCCAACATGTTTTTCTTGAGTTTGAGTTTTACTTTAGCTACCAGTAGGTGATGGTCTGAAGCAACATCTGCTCCTCTCTTGACACGTACTTCTTGATACATATATGGTCCATCTGGTTTTCTGTAGACAGGTTGGGTGATACCCAAGTAGCTTTATGTATGCTTTTGTGATGAAAGAGACTACCTCTAATTACGAAATTGCTTGTGGCCAGTGGCGTAGCCAGGATCGTCTCAAGGGGGGGGGTTCCAATTTTTACCCGGGGACAAACTTTCGATTTGCACCCCCCCCCCCTCAAACTTTCGATTTGCACCCCCCCCCCCTCAAACTTTCGATTTGCACCCCCCCCCTCAAACTTTCGATTTGCACCCCCCCTCAAACTTTCGATTTGCACCCCCCCCCCCCCTCAAACTTTCGATTTGCACCCCCCTCAAACTTTCGATTTGCACCCCCCCTCATACTTTTTATATATACCGAGGGGTCTATGGGGGGGGGGAGTTATGACCCCCCCTAACCCCCCTGCCTACGCCACTGCTTGTGGCACACAAGTCTGCAAATCTTTCTCCATTTTCGTTTATCTCACCTAAACCCTGCTGTTCCATACATTCTCCATATCCTCTGTTCTTGCTTCCAATCTTAGCATTAAAGTCGCTAATGAGTATAAGGATGTTTCTTTTTGGGCGGTTCTGGATGGTCATTAGCCTGTTGTAAAATTCATCTTTGTACTCTTCTTTGCTGTCATTTGTTCGTGCGCAGACCTGTATTATGTCCATGTTTATTCGTCTTATTTTAGTTTTAAAGGTAGCTGTTATAATCCGCGGGCAGTGTGCCTCCCATCCAATGAGAGCCCTATGTGCTTGGTATGATAGCACGAGTGCAACTCCTTGAGTATGTGGTGTATTTTCATCCTCATGACCTGAGTACAGCAGTAACTCTCCTGTTATCAGCCTTTTTTTGTCCTGAGCCTGTCCACCTTGACTCGCTGACACTCAGGATAGCTATTTTATAGCGTCTCATTTCTGCTGCTACTTGTGTTGCTTTTCCGGACATTCCAAGCTCCAATATTGATGGTGGACCTGGTGGAAATAATGGTGGTTGACCTGATAGTTTCCAATACATATTGGCTTTCACCAACCGGCTTCATAAAGTCTCCATCAGGAGATCCATTTTTCCCCTGGTCCGAGCTGTATGTATATCTTTTTGTCCGCGTTTCTGAAGCGAGTAATTAGTTTTACGATATAAGTTTACTGACCTTATGCTCAACCCCCTACCTGGAGGACCGAGGTGCTAGCTTTCGTCTGACCCCTACCCGCGCAGACCTTCCCAGCTTGGTTGCACCTGCCAGGAGTTAACACTCCCGCTGGTGTAGCTTTGGGGGTAGTCGGGGTACACAAGCTGTCAAGCCACGACAAGGCCCTAGCACCAGATGACAGGCATTTAATAAACTTACATTATTACTTTAACACTGCTAACTGCCGGCTATTGATTTGTTGCCGTGGAATTAGGCCTAACTACAACTACTGTTGTTACTATATCTTAGTTTTTATTAAATAAAAAATGTCGTCTGTAAACTGTAGTCACAGATGGCTGCTTTCACAGGAGCAGGGGGGGTGGTGCGGATAATCGTCATTCACGAACTACTGATAGTGTTTTAAAGCAAAATATTTTCAGTCGAATTTACACATTATGAAGTGCTGAAAGTAGAAAATATTGCAACTAAATAGCGGCGTATGGTACGCCGCAGGTCGGCACGTATGATACATTGCTGACACGTTCATGTTTGGAGAATGTCATATAATATATTTACTCAACACAATATTTTATTTGAGATTTTACAGCAATGAATCGAATTTTATATAATGACAGATCTAAAATTCTCTTATAATGTAATGTATTGTATTTTAATTTGTTCTATGTTAAAACTTTCTTTATATTGACGAGACATAAAGCGGCTATGTTGTAAGATTGGACTAACTATTAGAACAATGTATCCCGGTTAACTTATATATCGGACATAGTCATGGTACGCTTACATGTTGGCCCTAAGCAAATATTTTAGATTTAATTCAATTCTGACAAAACTGTCCCTTTACACACATACATTTTTATAATTATGTACGATAATTAAGACAATGTTTTATTTTGACAGAGACCCGTGTATGTCAGCATTACACCTGTCAAATTCACCTTGAAAATGACACACCTGTAACCACTGGATTAATTATTTCTACATTCTCTGTGCTGAGGGAACATAACGGCAACCATTTTAATGAAACAACAGGAAAACTTGAAGCACCAGATGATGGTTTATATCTGGTTATTGTGACGTTAGTAGCCGGTGGAAATAATCCAATTTTGGTTAAAGTAGCAGTCGGAGAACTAAAATATAAAACTATTTATGTGAAACCTGACAATATTTCTGCTTGCGGATCAACTGTAGTTCCGTTGAAGAAAGGTCAAGAACTATATTTTAAAGTTCAACAATCAGGACCAGGATCTTTCCTGCAAAAAGGAAGCGGTTTCACTATTTTAAGAATTTAGCTGAAAGATTAAATATAGTTGTATTTGTAAACCAAAAATTTAAAATCAAAATACAATTTTTAATTTTAGTTGAATATTACCTTAAGGGTACATTCTCGCTATGAGCTTATAATTAAATTCATACACTGAAGAGGTAGCGGCGTGGCTATGCGATAGAGTAAAAGGCTGTTAACTCGAAAGTCTCAAGATAGAATCTTGGTCCAGGCTAGTAGTGCGTACCTTAGCCTCATTAGCTCTGATGTCTGCCTAACTCTTTAATTAAAACTTTTTTTTATATGCCGAGGTGAAGAAACATAAGAACTCTATTTCATCTGCCAAATGGATCGTTAGGTATGAAGAGGATTATTTACTTTATACACTGGAGATAACATGATTTTTTATAACTCTACCTAGCATTAATTTTACTGCATATAATATTAAGACTGTATATTTGTAATATTATTAAATCATAAATATTATTTATGCCTGAAACATATAATTGTATTTTGCAAATTTAACATTTTTGTTTGTATTGGAAATATATATTTTTATTATTACGTAATAAAATTTGGTTCTTATTATACATTTGTTAAATATCTACTGCTGTCCCATGTGTTGTAGAAAACCTTGTTAAATAGGTATTGCTTTTAGCAATAGTATGTGTATGAATCATTTCTTCACTATAGACCAGTGGTTCCCAACCTTTTTCGAGTGGCGACCCCCTTTTATAAAAAGTAAGTGAACCGCGACCCCCATAAAATTAAAAAGCCGAATTTAGTATGGGAATTTATAAGCACTAAAATAAGATTTTCTAGAAGACTTTCAATATGAACTACTCTTGATAACTGTTTTAATACGATGAGTAAAATTGCATGCTATTTACTAAACATTCGCGGTTAAGTTATTGTTAACGCCAACCTATGTCATTATCAACATTCAATTTATTTCTTAATTTTGTTTTTAATCGGAGAATAATGTTGAAAGGCTATTCTCGAAAAGTCGATCAATTTTACGTTTGGGTATGAATGGTGAATAATACACCAAAATTGTATGAGCAGTTTTTCATCTTAGGCGGAATCATTCTGCAAATCAAATAATTAATCTTGTAATTCATCGGGAATGCTGGCAACATCAAGGGAAGTGGAGAATGGGTAATGCGTAAATGCAGATTCTTCTTCTTTCAGCTCAGAGAAATAGCGCCGCAGTTCGTTTTCAAGAGATTCAAGATGCCCAGAAATCGCTTCTTTCAAAATTTTAATTATCTCACAATCACGTTCATCTACCACACTGCAGAGTTTCTCAAATGTACAACATTTCCAAGATTTATTTATTTTCTTCGCAAATTTTGCAGCTTTGATAAAAATGCTCCGAGATTATTATGGAAAGTAGTAATCCTCGTTCATTTTCCCTCAAGCGTCCGGTTAAGCTTACGTTGATGTTCGAATATATCTGCTAGGTATGATGCTCTCTCCAACAACTCTATGTCGTTTTAAGTATACCAAAAGGTCTTGTTTCCTTTGCACTTCCAAGAACAATTTGATTTCAGATTTCAATTCAAAAACACGATTCACAACAATTCATTTGACAGCCAGCGTACTGTAGTGTAGAAAAGCAGAACCTCGTGATCTATATTAATGTCTTTGCTCCAGATTAAATATACAGTACGACTGTTACTAGCAATGGAGTCTTGATGACGAGGGCGTAGGCTACTGGTAAATCACGCAGTCGTTAGGGAGCTAAATCTTTTCTGTTTTCTGAATGCCCGATTTTGACCTAAACCTGGATAGCGCACCATCCGTACAAACCCCCACAGCCGTTTTAACCAACTTTAATCTTCCAGATTAAAAAAAAATGTATTTATTTTCTCCATGCTATTTCACAAAATAGCAACTCTTCTTTGCTATCATCTGATTGAATATAGACAAAGACCAGCAACTGCGAACACGAACTCACGTCTGTTGATTTATCAACTTGAAAAGCAAACAATGGTGAACGCTTGATTTCATTAAAAATTTGTTATTTAGTATCCACGGACACGTCGGCTATAAGCCGCTGAGTAGTATTATTAGGCAGAGATATTTGTTGCATCTTTACTGCACTGGAATTCCCAAGAATTAACTTCACCATCTTCAACATGCAGCGTTTGATGAGATTTTCTTCTATTGTGTGTTTTTAGCGCAATTTCCATTCTGGAGAATTGCGTTTATTAACCCGTCATTTCTGGATGGATGGATGGATGAATGTGTGTTCGAAGCTTTAAATCGTATCTCCTCCTCAACGAAGCAATATCGAGGACTAGTTCCAAAAGCAATTATGTTAAACAAGTTACGAGGATGATAGTGGGCCAAAAAATTTCCGGAATTCCTTCCTGGATTTCCCAGAAAAGCCAAAAAACCTCGAAAAAATGCAGTTTTTGGCCCATATCTCGGCAACCAGACCACCTAGCAACTTGAAACATTTACCAATCGATTTCTGCCATAATTTAGAACAATATTTCCGAAGAAAGTTTTCAAAAATATTCTTTCGTTCGGTCACAAAAAATTTTTTGAATTAATTAAAATTTGGACCGAATTAGTAGGCATGTTTATCCAACCACACCACACGCGTCATCACGTTCAATAGCTGCACCATCACGTTCAATGGCTGCGCCATCACGTTCGGTAGCTACGCGCGCAATGGTTTTTAGTCATGTAACTCTATTGTAAATAAAACATGTAAAATACTGAAATTTTTTTTAATAAAAAACGTTTTAATAACTAACCAATGGTTTTACTAACCCAGCTCTTGATTTACGCTACGACAGAGCTATTTTTAGATAACATAAGGAAATTGCGCTTAAATTGTCACTAGACTTTTTAATTACCTTGTTTTTTTGCTTGGCATTTTCTATCGCGACTTCATTTGATGCTTGCGCTAATGCTGTATTTCCTTGGTGAAAACTTCCTGTTCGATCAGGTCTATGACGTACGTTTGCAACTAGCTTCATGCCGACGAAAGAACACGATATCTTTTTTGGTGTGTTCCGAATGACTCGTCTCAAATGACGTTTTAGTTTTGAAGATTTTATAAACTCGTGACAGAGAACAACTTTGCACAGTGGGCCTACGCTTTGCTTCTTCTCTATTTGAATTCCAGTTATGTTAGTAAAGCCGAACTTCAGATATTCTTCTAAATATTTATTTTTATTTTCTCATTACTTAGGTTTAGTATACCAATTGGCGACCCCCCAGAAAGCCCTTGGCGACCCCCAGGGGGGTCGCGACCCCCAGGTTGGGAACCCGTGCTATAGACAGATGATAAGCAAACATCTCAAAAACCATGTCTTAATATAATGTCGATTTCTTTACTCTTAACTTTGTCCGAGCACTACACAAAATGACACATAATTTCATTTAATTAAAAGTAAATTTTTGACCATTCTTCATGTCAACAACCACTGACCCATCAGTGCTAGTCCTGGCTGAGTTAACTGCAATAAACGTCCGCCACTGTTTCTTTTCCCATTCATCTAGGGTGGCACAGACGAGATATAAACCATCAAGTTTTGACACAAAGGTCCCTGTTGTCTGATTTAAATATTTACTGTTAAATTCTCTAACTTCACCAAATGTTTTAATTATTGAAGTGATTGTGACCGTTGTCTTATCTACCAGTTGGATATAACAACAACATCTGTTACATGCACGTATCGAGTAGAAAAAATATTTTACGTTATTGGTTTCACTACATTGTTACACGAACGTTAATTATTAGGTCCTCTTAAGTAATTTGACTTGAGTTTTTGGCCGGCTCTAAATCAAACCAATATACGCTTAATGGCTTTAATTACATAAACCTTTGCTAAGAGATAAAAACGAATTTTTTTTTAAATTTTAAATCCTTTCTTCGTAATTGTAAGTTAATGATTTTTTTGTGCATTCATGTTTAATTACTTATCTATGATTCATTATGGTCATGATATTTAGTTTTCAAGTATAAAACCGATTAACTCAAAGATAATTAAAATTAACCCAGAAATCACTGAATCAGCAGAATAATTGTATACTGTGGTAAGGTTATTCTGGAACTTACAAGCCTTTTCTCGCCACCACCGCAAATTATTCTGTTAGGTTATACACTTTAAGAACAGAACCCCTAATTGTCGTAATTATAATTGTATATCGTTTGACTAGTAAATAGATATAAACAACACAGAGTACAGCAAGACATATATCACTAAGATCAAAATGACACATATAGTCTCTATTGTCAGAATGCTGGTTAACTTTTTTCTATGGTCAAAGTATATTTTAAATCAAACCTTGATATACAAGAATGTTAATTATTTATATGATATTTTAACACATTTCTCAACCATCCACTGAAACATATTATAATTTTAAAGGCAGCACCACAATAAAACGCCAACCTTGCAATAGATTTTATGTCTGACATTTTGTTTTACTTCATGCTGTCTGTACCTAGACCCTAATGCAATAAAAAATACACCAAATGTGTAACAAAAAAACCACATGTGCACGATTATGTAAATATATTTAAACAGAATATACAGGTACAACAAAGATATTAAATTTAATACATAGTATGTTGTCTTTTTTAATTTTGATTGAAACTATCTTACTACTAGCAATTCATATTGTTTTAATCTATATATATAATTCTCTTCTTGGAGACGCTAGAAAACAAGCTGTAAGCGCGCTCCCCACCACACCACTCTACATGGTCTGGTGAGCTTTGGTTAACGCTAAATGTTTACAATCGTAGAGCCGGGTTTAGTGAAGGTTACTAGGTGCAGATAATTTAGTTTGAAACGATTTTGAACTTAGGAGAGGTAACTAAGAGGAGGCTGCTTTCACGGGGGGGGGGGGGGGCGTATAGGGTAGGGGTTGGGGGAAAGGAGGGTGGGGGTAGTATCGTCCTTAACGACCTACTGATAGTGTTTGAATACAAATATTTTCAGTCGCAGTATTGGTACTGTCGAATAAACAAATTATGAATTACTGAAAAGTTGAAAATAAAACAAATAATTAGCGGCGTATGATATGCCGCGGGTCGGCTCGTTAATTATAATTGGATAACATTTAGTTTAGGTTGTGTACAATTTTTAAATATTAGGTCATGACAGACTGGACATGTGGACCTAACGACACTGACGCTCCCACGGCCTAAATTCACAGTCGTTAATTTGTTTACGGTCCACATCAGCCCTGGCCGCCTCTACTGGAACATCTTTCTTTGATTCCTGCAACTCTCTGACCACAGACACGTCATCGACTTGGTCGGCCACAACAACAGCCAGGGTAAACAGCAGACAGGCAATCACGACAGCTTTCATTTTCTAGAAGAAAAACAGCTTATATTTTTTAAAAAATTCGCAAAAGTATTTTGAATCTAATAAAAAAAAAATACAATGTAAAACGAAATAGCCTTCTTGTAGTACAAAAACAGCTATATTGAAATAGAAAATTAAAAACAGTTTT